TGTTTCTAATGCCCGGTGCGGAGAACTTCTGAGTTTCTGTAGGGACTGAGGTTTCAACACAACTGATGCATTCTCAATCCACAGATTTCACAACTACTGGTGTTTTTAAATCGTATTTACCATGTCAGTTACATCACAATAAAAAGTCACTCTGCTTTGCCCTTGACTTTATCTCATGACCTTTGATCTGCTCAGATTTTCCTCCTTTAACTTAGTTTAAAAAAAAAAAAGTCAGACATTTGAGAATTTCACCGGGTAACGATTCTAATCCTATAGATAAAAATAACATCGCACCCACTGGAATATGGACACTTTCCTGCTACCCATCAGTGGCATCACTGACCACTCATCATGGCCCTGGGCCATCTCCATCCTTGCCATGAAGATAAATGTCAGATAAAGGAGCATTTAAAATCCAATTCTCTTGCTGCCCCCACCTTCCATCACCCCCAGCCCCGCAAGTCCCCAATTTATCCCCAGTTACTCGTGTACCAACTACACTCTGTGTTGCTGGTAGGACTGCCTGACACACTGACACTCTGACACTGAGAAATCTAGAAAACCCTTCTCTCCTGACACGACAACTCCACAGGGAATGGGACTCCCAGTTATGTGGTATTTCAGTCACCTTGAGTCTGGGTGGGCTGACCCTGGCAAAGGCCTCTACGCAAGTCTCCAGCAGCTCACTTCCCCACTCACCCTTCTTCGAAGGAGCACCTCACACTGTTTGCCCAGGTTCCACAAACTCCCCAGTCTGTGGGACAAAGTACAAAGACCTGAAGAAAAAGGCCTCCCACCATCACCTTTCCAGCTCTGCCCAGCCACTCAGAACAAATCCATCTTTCCATTCCTATCCTCTGGACCTTCGCACATGCTGGTCCCTACCTGGGACATCCCTCCTTTCACTCTTCCGTGTGCCCAGCTAACACAGAGCATTTCTCCTTCAACACCTCACTCCTGCAACATGTCTTCTTGAAGTTCTTTTTTAGCCCTTACATTCTTGCCTTTGAATGCTGTGCTGTGTAGACAACTGTGACTGTCAGCTCCAACAGCATGTGGGCGGACTTCTATTCATCTTTGTGCCACTCTCACACCGCGGTTCTGCTTTGTCTCAGAGAAACAGAAGCTGCTCCATATTGGTCAGGTGGCATGACCCAGCTCCACAGACCACCACCTCCCTTCCAGCAGCACTGCTTCCCCAGACAGGCTTCTGAAGAGAAAACAATGGCAGAGGAAGGGGAGGCAGGGGAGGGTAGGGAAGAATCTTGCTATAATCCATTCATTCAAGAATGCCTGTGGTGCACCTATTATTACCGGCTATGGAGAATATTTTTTAAGATACAAACCTGGGGTTCCTGGGTGGCTCAGCTGGTTAAGCGTCTGACTCTTGGTTTAAGCTCAGGTGGGGATTTCAGGGTCGTGAGATCGAGCCCCAAGTTGGGTTCCTTGCTCTGCATGGAGTCTGCTTTGGATTCTCTCTCCCTCTCCCCGGCCCCTCCGCCTGCTATGGAAGTGCTTACACTCTCTCTCTCTCTCAAAATAAATAAATAAAATATTAAAAAAAAAAATACAAACCTGGTCCCTACTTTCAAGATGCAGAGTTGAAAAAAAAAAAACAAAACCTATATTCAAGTAAGTTTAAACAATCATACCAAACAGTATACCAGGTGTCATGGAAGTTTGAAAGAAAATACCAACCTGAGAAACTAAAAAAGGCCTGACTAGGACTCAATGCCGGATTTGCCTCTTACTACCTACAGTACCTTGGGCAACCTTCTTAACTTCTCTCTGCCTCAGCTTCACCATCTGTAAAGATGAACCCTGACCTTGTATTGTATACTTTCTCTCCTCTCTGCTTTAGCCACTCTGGCTTTCTCTTACTGTTTCTCTAATATTCAGGTTACACCTGACTTAGGACCTTGACACCTTCTGGTTCTTCAACCTACAAGTCTTCTCCCAAATCTGAACCATTCAGGTATCTACTCATACAACCACCTCAGAGAATTTCCTGACACCTAAGATAGCATCTCCCCTCCCATGTTATTCAAAATGCCCATAACCCTCCATTATTCACAATGCTTATTAGTACCAAAAATCACACTATTTGTATACCCTTTTTTCTTAAGATTTATTTATTTGTTTCAGAGATAGAGAGAGCAGGAGCGGGAGGTGCAGAAGGAGAGGAGAGAATCTCAAGCCAACTCTGGGCTGAGCGTAGAACCAACACGGGGCTGGATTGCATGACCCTGAGATCACACCTGAGCTGAAACCAATAGTCCGATGCTTAACCAACTGTGCCACCAGGGCGCCTCTTTGTTTACCTTTTTAAATTTCTGCATCTCCCTCTAGGGCATAAGTTCTTTGAGGGCAGGGTCTTAGTCTTACCCTGATCCCCAGTGCCCAGAATACCAGGCACATAGTACAAAAAAAAAAAAAGGAAAAAAGGTTAAATCAATGGTGGTAAGAGGAAAATAAGACCTATATCGAAGGGTTTTGTGCACATAGGGGGATATAAAATGCTTAACACAGCATCTAGCAGTGGTAAGCTCAATACCGTGGTTAATACTATTATCTGAGGAATCCAGAAGAGGGTGAGGTCAACAATGGGAGAAGCAGTTACCAAAGTTTCCGGGAGAAAGCATCTTGAGCTTGATCTGGAAGGATAAGGATTTTTCTGATGGGTAGAGAGGTGAGGGTACTGCAAGTGTCTCCCCTTCTGAGACACCCCTCCATCATGTGTTCTTCACATCTCCATTAAATGCAGAGTCATCACACTTAGAATCATCGATTAGCCAGCCTCTCTCTATAACCATCCATTTATCCACTTACCTTTCATTGCTATACCACCAAAGTCCAAGACAGATTTCACTACAAAAGGGCATACAATAATGTTAACTTGGGAATTTGCAGACCAGTATTTCACTACATGTCTATCCTGAGAAATATCCAAGTGTCAGCACTACAAATCATGTACAAGGATGTCCATTACAGCATGGCTTGTGAGGGGAGGAAAAATTAGAAGCATTCAGAAGGATCACCCACAGGGAAAAGATAAACATACTATGGTATGCACATGGTATGCAGCCATATTGTACAGAGGTTAAACCAAACAAGACAGATGCTTATGTACTGACCTGAAGCAATCTCTAAAACACAGTTCTGTTGAAAGGGGGTGGGGGGAAACGTTGGAGAATTACACTATGTGGTCTCATTTATGTGAAACAAAACAAAAATTTTAAAACCACCCACATACAAAACCTAAAGATTTCTCTAGATACACACATTTTTTTAAACCACAGTATTTTCAGCTCTTCAACACCATGTCTGAAACACAGTAAGTTTTCAATAAATGTTTGCTGAACAAATGAAGACATATGTAAACGAACAGAAAAGGACTAGAGAGTAGATCTGCTTTTCATGCTCAATAATTCTGAACTGTTTGCATGTTTAAGTCACCGCATTAGTGTGTTACTTGTGTAATTAAAATGAATTCAAAATAGTTCTTTAAAAAAGAAAAGTTGCAGGGGGCGCATGGGCGGCTCAGTGGGTTAAGCGCCACTCTTGATCTCAGCTCAGGCAGGTCTTGATCTCAGGGTCCTGAGTTCAGTACCCCTGTTGGGCTCCACAGTGGGTGTAGAGCCTACTCACCCCAAAAAAAAAAAAAAAAAGTTGCAGGACCTGAATACATCATAAAGAGATCCACGCACTCCGAGTAACTTCTCTAGGTAATTAATTTAATCGTTCTAGGCAATTAAGAGCTCTTATACAGCAACTCGACGCTCACTTTACATCTCCAGCTTCAGATCCCTTAACAAAGATGAGTGGAAAAGTGCTGGGTTTTAAATTGCTCCTGCAAACCCCTTAATGTCATGCCGTTTCCGAGGGTGCTCTTGCTACGATCCCCGACTCCCCTGGGGCTGGGATTCTGGCGCCCTGCCTTTCGCGCGCACACAGGGTGGCAGAGAAAGGCCGGCAGGTGGGCGTGGAAAGTCCTCCAGATAGGTGCGAGCACACAGCACCCGGGGAAAGAAACTTACTTTCCGACTGGCCTCTTCTCTGGCTGTAATGTCTTTCCTTGTTCAAGCAACCTCCTTCGCGGGAGCCAATTTCTCCGGTGATCGGCCCAGAGCCCGCAGGTCACCTGGTTAGTGGAGGAGAAGCGGGGCGCGTTAAAACCCGGCGAGCAGAGGAGCCGGCTATGGGTGGCATCTCTGCGGCTCGGTTCTCTCACCCGGGGATGGGTCTGGGGACCGGCCCCTGCATTCAGACCAAGAGGTCAGCAGCCCTCGCCCTACGGACTGGTTCAAAGTTGCGCGCCACGGCGCCCTGGCCCTTGGGGGGCAGGGCGGGAATGAGCGCAAGAGCGAAGGGTGGGCCTCGGACCCTCACTCACACCCGGAGGCGGCCCAGCCGGTATCCCCGGCGGGAGCCGGTCCTCCCTTCCAGGTCCCGCTACCTCGGGCCAGTGCACTGCGGAATGGGTCTTCGGCCTCCGGCGCGTGCGGCGAAGGAAAGGAGGGCGGGCGAGCGGCGCAGAGCCGGACCGCAGATGCAGATCCCAGGTCTCGCCAGCCGCCGCCGGGGAAGGTGCGGCGTGGCGGGAGCCGGGCTAGGGTCAGCTCCACGCCTTGCTCCCGAGCGCGGCTGACTCCAAACGCCGCAGCCGCCGCGGGAGTGAACTCCGCACCTGGAAAATCGATCGGAGACGCGCAAGGACTTCCCATTGGTCTCAACTGCCGGCGGGCTCTGGGAGGGGGCTTCCAATGGGGGAGGGGGCGGAGGGCGGGTGTGCCGCCTGTCCATCACAGGCCACGCCCTCCCCAGCCCAACTCCCACTACGGCCCCACCCGTTGGGGGGGCGGGATCCTTGTGCGCCACGCTGAAAATTTGGCTCCACCCCCGAAGATTCTATTGGCTGGAAGGCCATGGGACGCTGCTACCATCAGCCAATTGGAACGCACAATGGACGCCGTGGGGGCGGAGAAAACACCGCCCTCTTCCTTAGGACCCAATAGGGAAGAGGAACAGGAAAGCGCTTCCTGAGTTCGGGGGTCGAGGAAAGATGGCGACCACCAAAGGGGTTTGGTGCCTGTGCGAGTTATTGAGGTGAGTAGCAGGTGGTGTGGGTCTGCAGGCGTTTTGTTTCACGGTAATATTTGTCTGTTCAATGCAACTGAAATTTGCAGGGAGGGGGGTCTTCGTGTCACGAATCTAGGCAATTTCCTCAAGGATAGTGGACGCTCTTCCTCTCGCTTTGGAGTCTTCTAATTAGACTAGAGTTGACTGGGTTAAAGACTCCGTTCACCGCGTTTTCTTCGCCTGCTCATTCCAGTGAGGGATCGAGGTTCCCCTTCTGTTTTTTCTCTTCATCTCTCTCCAATTATTCTTTCATTAATTATTCATATTCAGTCCTCAGTTTTCTTTATGATGGAGCCACGAATCATTTTCCAAACTATCGTTTCTCTCCTTTTGGTAAAGAATAAATTGGCTCTTCCTTCTCACATCGTAGTTTCCCCGCTTTCAGTCACCAGAACTGTCACTGTTAACATATGTCACTTAAGTATGTTAACTTTAAAAATAAAACAGCTATCCTACCAGCAAAAATAGTTTGGTTTGGTTTTGTTTTTTGTTTTCCGGGAATAGCGGAGAGTTGCATTTCTGGATGCACAAACTATGGCAAAACCATAGGCAAGTCCAAGAAAGGAGAGGACCATTGTTTTTTAGAGAAGGAGGAAATTGGGGGTGGGATTGAAGGAAAGTCCTTTAGAAAAGCAAGAGTGGTGAGGATTTCTCCGACCAACGTGCAGGAGTATTCTTGTAGGAGATGTGATGTACACCATTCCCTGTGGGGGCCTGTTGGTGATGATTTCTTCCTGTCAATCATGATATGTCTATGTCAATCATAGACAGTTTTTCGTGAAATTGAAATTGAAATTTGAGTGATAGGGCTCCTTTTGCGTTGCCCCTTCTGGTCTCCTGACTCCATTTTAGTGAGGGTTCTTTTTATTTTCACAAATACAAAGGTGTTTTTTTTTTTTAAGTTTTTTTTTTTTAATTTATTTGACAGACATATCACAAGTAGGCAGAGAGGCAGGCAGAGAGAGAGAGGAGGAGGAGGCAGGCTCCCTGCTGAGCAGAGAGCCTGATGTGGGACTCGATCCCAGGACCCTGAGATCATGACCTGAGCCGAAGGCAGAGGATTTAACCACTGAGCCACCCAGGCACCCCAAAAGTGGGTAGTTTTAATGTGCAAATACTAAGGATGTTTAATAAATGTATTTGTAGAGTCTGTGTCTTTGAAACTAACTGACTCAATAAAGGACTGGCTCAACTTCAGTCATTAACATGATTTTTTTTTCTGATTTTAAGTTAAATCGTTCAATCTGAAAATATATCCTATGAATCTTGCCCACTTAATTCATTAGAAGGAAATGCCATAAAAGTCTTTATACTCTTATAGGTCAGCCACATTTTAAATTAAATGGGCTTTTGGCTTGTTCTGGGAAAGCTTTATAATACTGCTTTAATACATGAACTCATGTATTCCAAATATTAAATAAATCACAAATCTTACCACTTCTCTCAAACTCTGCTCATCCTTTAAGACCATGGTTCTCAAAGTATGGTCATAGACCCTAGTAGGTCCCCAAGACCCTTTGAATAGTTCTTCAAGGTCAAAACTGTGTTTATAATAATTTAAGATAACATTTGCTTTTTCATTATCTTTACATTTGCACCAATAGTGCAAAAGTAATGGTGGATAAAACTGTGGCTTAGCACAAATTGGGGAATGACATCAAAGTGTTCTTACAGTCTTGTGTTTTTCAACACCATGCACCTGCTAAAGCCAGTTTTACTAAGAATGTCCTTGATGAAATAGTAAAAATTATTAATTTTGTTAAATATTAACCCTTGACTTGAATACATAATCTTCTTAATATATTATATAATGTCTCCATACTGAAGTTGATGGTTATCTCAAGGAAAAGCTCTTGTGTGATTGCTAAGTTGCAAGCTGAATTAGATACTTTTTTTTTTTTTTAATGGAACATAGTTTTTACTTGAAAGAATTACCAACGGATAAACTATGGTTCTTCTTACTTGGGTATTTGAAAATGAATGAAGTGATCCTCTCACTTCAAAGAAAACAAGTGACAGAATTTGTTGCTAATAGTAAAGTTTAAACTTTCAAGTGAAAATAGGAACTTTCATGGGGCACCTGGGTGGTTCAGTGGGTTAAGCCTCTGCCTTCAGCTCAGGTCATGATCTTGGGGTCCTGGGATGGAACTCCCGCAATGGGCTCTCTGCTCAGCAGGGAGCCTCCTTCCCTCCCTCTCTCTCTCTCTGCCTGCCTCTCTGCCTACTTGTGATCTCTGTCTGTCAAATAAATAAATAATAAAAATCTTCTTAAAAAAAGAAAATTAGAACTTCGGAAAATTTTTATCTGCCATTCAGAGCTTGACCACTTTCCAGTAATTAAAAGATTTCCTTGATAAGATGGGTAGTGATATTAACAAATGTGATTTGGGGATATTGTTCGATGAAATATGCCCACATTTGGGAAGTCACCATGAGTCGTGAACCAATAGTTTCCAAATAATCAAGTCTTGATGTTATAAAATCATGTATAAGTAAAAGATCCATTCAAAGTGCAGGATAGGCCAATAGATTTCAGTATAACAGTATGAAAAGGTCATTGACTGGGTTTCATATTCCATGTTGTACCTGGCCATTAAGAAATTGCCACTTGTCTAATTTGGTATAATATCACAGAAAAATACTGTATCTGAAAAGACTATTTAAACATACTCCCTTTTCCTACTACATTTGAGTGAGCCTGGATTGCCTTCATATACTTCATGTAAAACAACATAGCACTAAGATTGAATGCAGAAGCAGATGTGAAAAGCCACTGTCTTCTTTTAAGCCAGACAGTAAAGAATCTTGCAAAAATACAAAATAGTGTTAGTCTTCGTACTGAATTTATTTATTTATTTATTTATTTTGGGTTTGGAAAATACAGGGTTTTTGTTTTTGTTTTTAGTAAAAATAAATTATATATTAACATGTAATAGATCTGTCATTTCTTTTTAGGATAATTCATGTTTTTAATTCCTCAGGTTCATTTCTCATATGCTCAATATTGGTAGATATAATCAATGTAAATGAATAATTCTCAACAAGGGGTGATGTTTAGCAATATCTGGAGATAATTCTTATGGCTATAACTGGTACAGAACTATGGGCTCCAGTGGGTTGAGGCCAGGAACGGAGCCAAACATCCTTTCATGCATAGGATAGCCTCAGCAACAAAGAACTATGTGGTCCAAAATGTCAGTAGTGCCGAGGTTGGGAAATCCTGATAGAAACAAAAGCTGTATGGTCTTCAGTTATTTTTAAGAGGTTAAGTTATCTGGAGACCAAATCACTTTAATAAGTGAAATACCTCTTCAGGTATAAACTTACTCACAATAAGAAGTTACACATGAGAAATTGTTTCCAAACTAAATATGAATAAGATACTTATTTCTCTGAAGAATTTATGTGTTTTCTACTTATGGACAATGAGAACTTTGTAACTATACAAAATATCCCCATATATGCTTGGGATCATTAAGCCTTTCAGAGCCCAATCTGCTGTTCACTACTATGCACAAACTTAGACCTTCCATATCTTTGTCCCCCAACTGTCACCCCTCCCCACCAAATACTTTAACTCTGTTTCCCCTTGTCTTGAATTTCAGTATTTGAGTTTTAGTATTTTGGTATTTTTATGCCTTACAAGCTCCTTCTCCTTCTAAAGCGTAGGCAGGATATTTTGCTCAACCCATAACAGAAAAACATACTTTGAAAAATTATTTTAGCACAATCTAAGAGATATCTGAGGAGGTAATAAGATTTTGTATTTAGTCAACAAATATTTAGTGGATGCCTTCTTTGTGCCAGGTATTATGCTAGGCATTGGCATCCAGTGGTGAGCAAGCCTGGGTCTTCCTTGTGTTTGCAGAGCCGTAGTCAGCCTGGCAGTAAGAGAGCCTTTTAGCAGCCAGTGTGGGAGTAAGTTCACTAATGTGCGTGAAGTAGATTGTTGGTGCATTTTTGGCAACTCATTTAGAGGCACATGAAAGAAGGCGGTGATTTTAGGATCATAGAAACAGATCAAATGCAGAACTTGTAATAGAAATGGAAGTATCTAAGTTCCTTTTGCCCCAGAAATTGTTCTATTTGAGGTGCAGCGAGAGAATGAAAATGATTTAGTATATCATCAAACTTTTAACAAATTAAAAGTTCACTATTAATCATTCAAAGACATATTGCTTGGGTTCTGTGTCATAATTCTGAGGGTCAGATGCCATTCCTACTTGTCTTGTTTAAGTTAGTAATTAAATTTGTTTTTAATCCTTTAACAAATACACTGTTAGGAGAAAGATGGCTCATCATTGATTTTCACTGTCAATTAAAAAGAAAAGTTATGTTGAATTGCTAGCATTCTGGGGCGATTGGAATTAAAAAGGATTTGCCTTTTGATATTGGACATTTTATGTGTTAGAATATTAAAAATTGAGTATTTTGTTAGCAGACTTCCAGCTATAAAAATTTTGTCTTCATTATTAATATAGAAAGCGGGCATATAAAAGTAGACTTTAATTTGTAGTTTCTTTTGAATAGGCATTGTGTTGATTTTTACATTTTCCTTTTTGTTTCAGATTTTTTTATTCATTATTCCTCCCTGGGCTGGCAGTCTGTGGAACTTTATGCGTATGTCTGTTTATTATCCTCTGGGGAATCAGACTGCTGCTACAGAGAAAGAAAGCATTAGTATCAACTAGCAAAAATGGGAAAAAGCAGATGGTAGTTGCATTTTTTCATCCTTACTGCAATGCTGGCGGAGGAGGAGAAAGAGTTTTGTGGTGTGCCTTAAGGGCCCTGCAGAAAAAGTAGGTATGCATCTTTCTTAGCTAATTTACTTTATTATTACTATTTTTTAAAAAATCATTATCCAGATATTTACCTTTCTCTAGTACCTTATTCATAGCCAGGAATTAACTGTTCTTCAATAAGGAAATACTTCTGTTATATGCCAACCCACCGTACAAGATCCTGTGGAATTTTAGTTGATATGATAAAGAAATAGAAAGGGAGGGCAACTGGGTGCCTCTGTTGGTTAAGCGACTGCCTTTGGCTCAGGTCATGATCCTGGAGTCCCGGGATCGAGTCCCACGTTGGGCTTCTTGCTTAGCAGGGAGTCTGCTTCTCCCTCTGACCCTTCCCACTCTCATGCTCTTTCTCGCTTACTCTCTCTCAAATAAATAAAATCTTTTTAAAAAAGAATGAAAGAAAGAAAGGGAAAATACCTGCCCTTTGATTGTAAAATTTAGTGGGGATAACTGTCACCTTGGAAGAATATGTAGAGAAGAACTTGAATAATAAACAAATACACCAATTCATAAGGAGTGCTTTAAACTGAATACTTTTAGTAGTAGTGGCACAGAGGAAATCATCTGTATGAACGCATCTATTTGATTCTGATGTTGAGGTCATTACCAGTTAGATAGTCTTAAGTTACCATGTTAGAAAGAGTATGCTGTTAAAACGGGTCATTTAAAGTATTAGGCTTCGTTCTCCCTACCTGCACTCCCATCCTCACCCCAAAAATGTTTACGATCCCCTTGTAGAGGAGGAACAAACAGTAAAGTCAAAATTCCATTGATGGATGTATCATAGGAGGAAAACTTTTATTCCTCCATGGTTACAGTACTTCCTGACACTCACCCTTCATCCAGATCCAGAGCCTTCACCCAGAATTCCCTCCACTCTACATTTCTATATTCTTGGCTCATCCTGGCTTCCAGCCACCACCCCTGTATTACCTCTGCCATCTTCCATAACTGCCTAGGTTCAAAACATTTTCTTTAATCTCCGCTTACTATCCATCTCCTTGAGGCCTTCCCTACTCCTACTCTAATCCCTCCGGTTCTTTGCTTCACATAACTCCGCATTAACTTGTCTAACTGGATTTTCTAGCTTTTGAGGGCATTGGTAAAGTTTTGTGATAGCTCTACCAGGTATGGACCCTAGATTTTAGCTGAGAGAGACAGACAAGATAATAAGCAAAGTAGAAAAATATCAAATGGTGAGAAATGCTATGTGAGAAATACAAACAGCATAATTTGTGAGTCCATATTTTAGACTGAGTAATTAGGGAATATCTCCAAGGAGGTAATACCTGAAGTCTAAATGACAAAAGCAGCCGACATTTACTGAGCATTTACTCTATGCCAAGCATTGTTTGAAGTGCTTCACAGGTGTTAGCTTACTAAATTCTCACAACAACCTTATGAGGTTTTTACTGTTACCCTCATTTGACTGACGAGGAAATGGAGTTACCAGAGTCCATATTATAAACCACAGACCGTACTGTCTGCCTCAGGAAGAGACAGTGAAGATGAGAAAAGAGAATTCAAAGCAGAGGGAACAGCTCCTGCAAGTCCCCTGGGACCCAGAAGGAGCTTGGCTTGTTCACAGAAAGGAACCCAGTTTGGCTGACCCTGTGGGCATGTGAGAGTGGAGGCAGGGCCCACGTTACACAGGGCTTGAGTGAATAGGGTAAGGAGTTTAGATTTTATTCTAAGTGCTCTGGAAAACCCTGTGAGGATTTCAAACAGAGAGATGACATTCTGCTTATCTGTTGTTGCATATCCACCCCAAAATATAATGGCTAAAACAATGTATCATTGTTTCTAATAGTCTGGGGACCGACAGGTCCTGTTGGGAATCCCTCATGCCAAGCGGCTGCGACTATGTGGCAGCTGGGGCCGAGTCATCTGAAGGCCTCTATTAACGTGTCTGCTTCCTGGGCTGGGACGATTGCAACAGCTATAGTGGCTGAGGGTGGGAGGCGTGGGTCAGGCATCTCTGTCACCCCACATCCTCTCCATATGACAGCCTTGGGTTTGCACAGAACACGGCAGCCAGACTCCTTATATGGCAGCTGACTTCTCTAGAGCAAGGTAGAAGTTGCCATTCTCTGAGAGCCTGGTCTAGAGACTGCCAAAATGTCACCTTTGACATAGTCTGATGGTAAAAGGAGTCACAGAGCCTGCTAGGATTCCAGGGGAGGGGACATAGATTCCTCCCCTCGATAAGTGTCAAAGAATTCGTGGCCACCTCATCAGATGATAATCCCTTTTACATTTTATAAGGATGATTCTGGCTGCTGGGAGGTGCTGTTCGGTGCTTGTCCTTTAGGTCTGCACAACACCCTGTGGCTATCTCTATCAACACATTCCACAGAGTTGTGCAGTTTTCGGTTTGCATCTCTCTTTCCTCCACTGGACTCAGCTCCTGGAGGGTAAAGACTCTAATCTCTGAACCCCCAGAACCAAGTAGCTCATACTAGATACTAAATAAATGTTTGATGACTCAAAGAATAACTAAAAACACAGTCAGAACAAATGCCAAAAGCATAAATAGTCAGAAGAGTGTAGTTTTACGTATTTCCATTATAATTCTATCAGATCTAATTTTGATGGCAGGCACCAGATCTAGCTTTTAGAATCTTATTGCATCTCCCAGATAAAAACACTGAGTAATGCTTTAGTACCTACGGTCCTATCTAAAGATACATTTAGTAAGTTTTAATTCTTGTTTGTGATTATTATTAGTATTTTGTTACCATTTTATATTGAGAGAGTTGTCAAAATTAAGTTTCTGAATATTTCTTAAAAACAGAATCAGCAATTTTTGTTGATGTCTGCTCTATGCAAAACTCTTTTTTTTTTTTTTTTAATTTGACAGACCGAGATCACAAGTAGGCAGAGAGGCAGGCAGAGAGAGGGGGAGAAGCAGTCTCCCCGCTGGGCAGAGAGCCCAATGTGGGGCTCAATCCCAGGACCGCGAGATCATGACCTGAGCCGAAGGCAGAGGCTTTAACCCACTGAGCCACCCAGGCGCCCCTGTGCAAAACTCTTAGAAGAGGAAATAGCAAAGAACTAAAGGTCTCATTTGGAGGACTAACATTTCACTAGCAGGGCAGCAGAAGACTCAAAGAGGAGCATCAATAGACCAAGTATAATGAATGAAAAATCAGTGGAAGACATTTTTTTCCAATCTAAAAATAACCCTCTTTATGATTGTGAGAAAATAATTATCTACAACTTTTTGCTAATGAAAACCTTAACTATTACATTCTATTTTAGGCATCCTGAAGCAGTTTATGTCGTTTATACTGGTGATGTTAACGTCAGTGGTCAACAGATACTAGAAGGTGCTTTCCGAAGATTTAACATCAGACTCACTCACCCAGTGAAGTTTGTTTTCTTAAGGAACCGTTATCTTGTGGAAGATTCACTCTATCCTCACTTCACACTGCTGGGCCAAAGTCTAGGCTCCATTCTTCTTGGCTGGGAAGCACTAATGCAGTGTGTTCCCGACGTCTACATCGATTCGATGGGATACGCGTTCACACTTCCTCTGTTTAAGTATTTAGGCGGTTGTCGCATTGGAAGCTATGTTCATTATCCCACGATCAGCACTGACATGCTCTCTGTAGTGAAGAATCAAAATGTTGGATTTAACAACGCAGCTTTCATTACCAGGAATCCTTTTCTTAGCAAAGTAAAGCTCATCTATTATTATTTATTTGCTTTTATTTATGGACTTGTTGGTTCTTGCAGTGATGTCGTGATGGTCAATTCTTCTTGGACACTAAACCACATTCTTTCCCTATGGAAGGTTGGAAATTGCACTAACATTGTTTATCCGCCTTGTGACGTGCAGACATTTCTGGACATTCCCTTACTGGACAAAAAGAAAACCCCAGGACATTTACTGGTTTCCATCGGCCAGTTCCGGCCTGAAAAGAACCATCCTTTGCAGATCAAAGCCTTTGCTAAATTGCTGAATAAGAAGGTGGCTGAGTCACTGCCTTCCCTTAAACTTATCCTCATTGGGGGTTGTCGAAACGAAGATGATGAGCTGAGGGTAAACCAACTGAGAAGGCTTGCTGAGGAGCTAGGAATTCAAGAAGATGTGGAATTTAAAATAAACATTCCATTTGATGAGTTGAAGAATTACTTGTCTGAAGCAACAGTTGGTCTGCACACCATGTGGAATGAGCATTTTGGGATTGGTGAGTCTTCCTTTAAGTGACTCATTTGGTGCCATGAGATGTACATTCTAGGTTCTCTTGATAAAATGATAACACTGTGGAAGTTATCCTTCCACAGTTCTTATCCAGTTTTAATGCTCTTCTCCCAGTCTACCATGTCAGCTTTATTCATTTGTGACCCTGCAGGACGTGACAGGAGGTAGTCACTAATAATAGCTGATATTTATTGACAGCTTAGTGCATGTAGGTCACTGCTGAGATCTTTGCAATTATTACTTGACTTAATCCACTCTAAAACCCTGCTTCATATAAGTTCTTATTCCCATCTCACAAATAAAGAAACTCGGGCACAGAGAGGTTTTAAACCTGCCCTTGTCTGATCACAGTAAGAGGTAGAGCTTGGATCCTCATTCAGAGAGCCCCTGCTCGAACCTGCCACAGTTTCTCTGCCCCACCTAGCCCTATCTGCAAACTGGGATAAGTTCCTGACCTCATCTCCCTGAAGGGCCAGATCTGAATCTCTGGGTGAGGCCCAGGTAGATGTATTTTGGTAAAGCCCCTCAGGTGATTTGTTGGGCACCAAAACCTGAGCCCATTGGGCTCCTCACAGTGATTCTGTTGGTTCTTCTACTGATTTCCTACTCATTACTGGAATGGCCTCTCCTCTTTCTGCCAAATCCCATTATAAGTGTCAGACTTTAATCTCCTTGGCCTTTAATTTAGCCTCCCTTGTTTTTTCTAGCACAAATTGCTCTCTCTACCCCTGATTCCCCATTAGGCATACATTTTGATGTAAAATCAAGTACTGGTGTCTAATGTGGTTCAAGATGTATTTCTCAAGAGGCTGCTTTGTGCGTCACACTGCCAGGTGTTACAAGGGAAAGGGAAGAACATAAAAGTGAAGTTTCCTATACTAAGGCCATAGTTTATCTTATACTCTTGTCTCTCCTTGGTTCGTAGCACCCGACGAAATCCAGACATACAGCAGAACTTTTTGATTCAGCCCTCTGCGCAGAGTCTGACTTCTGCGCCTCCCTGCACGGAGACGTAGTGACCATTAACTGTGCTGGGGGGTATGGGAGGCAGGAGCTGGTGTTCAGGTACTTGCAGTTCTGTGTGTGCTAATGACCAGTTGAGTAGCACTTTGCTGGAGAGGGTCCTAAGAGCTGTGCCCAGGGCAAGGGCAGGGCGACATGAAAGCACCCAAGAGAAACACCTGACACAGATGTGTGAGGTCAGAGAACAATTGCCCAAGGAAATAATGTGCCATGGAAACAGGGGCCTGAACAGTAATTTGAAGTTAGCCTTGCAGGAGAGAGAATGTCCAGCAGAGGGAGTGGCGTTGTGACCCATGTGACAAAAGGAGCATTAGCGGGCACACTCAAGGTGCTAAGATTTCTGGCCAGAACCTGCAGGAGGAACAGCACGCCCGTGGAGAGGGGAGCTGGGGCCAGATCACATGGCCACATGAAGCCAGTGAGAAAAGAGAGACTGATTCTAAGTGTTGGATTTTAAAGCTTTCTGTTCCCTCAAGTTCACTGTGGTTGCCGTGGAGGGGGTACTGGTGAGGAGCAGGGAGAGCCAGACGAGGGAGGCAGGAGGATGTGTTGGGCAGCCTTGATGAGGTGCTGCGTCTGAAGGTGGTAGGCAGATTCGCTCGAGGGAGATTCTGAAGCATGACTGAACAGGACTTGGTGACGAACTGGATTTGTTAAACAAAGGAGAAAGAAGAATCGGAGAGGCCCTCCTGGGGCTTTGAGTTTGGACAGCTGTGTGAATGGTGGATGGCTTTCCCCTAGAGATGGCTCCAAGAGGAGAGGCAGTTGACGAGCCAGGTTTCCCATATGTAGACTTAGAATGATCCATGGGACACGGGAGTGTGTGTGTGTCCATTGGGCACTTGTCTACACGAGTCTGCAGCGCAGGTGAGGGACCTGACCTGGGAACACAGACTGAGGAGTTGGCATCACTGACCGGCTCATTCCGGAAGGTCCATGGATGAAGGTAGAATTGCCTAAGGAAAGTTGTGCCCAGTGAGAGGAGGGCCCTGGTATAAAATGCTGAAAACAAGAACGGTTTGCAAGTGGGTAGAAGAAGAGTTGCCAACAAAGGAGAAAAGAAGTAAAGAGAGGAGGGAAACTTCCTGATGCTGTTGTTTGAACTCCTGAAATTTTGCTCGTGATATCTTTTTACACCTTTTACCTTTCAGTAACCATTATCTGTCATCTTGCTAACATTCTATAGTCTTCTACCTTATTTTATAACCTGCAGTGTGTTTTTTATAGACTGTTCTTTCACCTGCTTGTCTGTTTCAATGAAGAGCAAAGCAGCATTATTATGAGGCTTAAAAACGAAAAAACATAGAATTATTTGGTACCGTGGAAGTTTAGTGAGCTTATTTATAGACACAACAGACATTTACTTAAATTTGTCATGAGTGTCTTAAAATCTGTGGAGACTTCTGCTCATCCTTGTTATGAAAGCTCTCAAATGTTAAAAGACTACACGGTTTTTGTTTGTTTCTCAGGAGTGGTTGAGTGTATGGCTGCTGGCACGATTATCCTTGCCCACAATTCAGGGGGCCCGAAGCTTGACATTGTCGTTCCTCACCAGGGAGAGATAACTGGATTTCTGGCAGAAAGCGAGGAAGGCTACGCTGAGACTATGGCTCATATTCTTTCCATGTCTGAGGAAAAGAGACTCCAAATCCGCAGCAATGCTCGGGCATCTGTAAGCAGATTCTCTGATCTGGAGTTTGAACTAGCGTTCCTGTCATCTGTGGAGAACTTACTTAAATAATGCCATATCTGTACAAATTAAAGATGTTTTATATAAAACGGCTAAATACCTTCATATGTTAGTACTTTCCTGAACGTTTTCTGTATTATAATGAAGTCAGCCTAAATAGTGCTCTCAGCAATATATAGAGAGATGGGATATTTATTTCAATGAAAATGAAAAAAAGGCAAAATTACCAAATAGTTTAAATGAAAAGATTTTAGATTAGTATTCTGTCCCAAATTCTGAAAAATGTGGATCTGAAAGAAAAAATGAACAGTTGTAATGTTGGTATAATCCCTATTTTTCAGATCCTGTTTGTCCAATCACTGTCCGTTAGAACGCAGGAAAAAGAATTTCCCTTTAGAATATAGGAAATGTGGAAAGGAAAATGGAGAACTGACGATTAGATCAGTACTTTAGCACTGTCCTGACATCTTGGGAACACAGAAAAATTCTGGTATATTTAAATTCTAAATGTTACTGTGGATGACCTTCTTGAATATATCTGACGGTTTTCCTTAAAGAGAAAAGACACTTGAAGCAGGCGTCATCCCATTCTAAAAGCACACAGCGAAAAGACAATTCTTTTTCCTGGGTTCTAACGGACAGTGACTGCCCTGCGGGCGTAAAGATGGACGGACAGGAACTGCCCACAGGCGTTTGTTAGGGGCAGAGGCACAGAGTCTTTCTGTAGCTTGGGGTTCACTAGAGTAGCTTTTTGTTTAGTGCTCCCAGTACATTTGTACTGATGGAAAGGGCTACCCTGGTATCCCATCACAGTTCCACATCTCGGGAGCTGCAAGTCTGCTTGAGGCTGTTCAGAAGGTCAGAGTGAGAACATCATGCCAAGTTGCTCTTCTCATAGTGACAATGGACGAACGGGCTCCGTCCTCCCGGGTCTGTTGGCAGCATCGTGCCTTGGGAGATGATGAGGTGGCTTTTAGAAAAGCACTTCAGACTCCAGCACCTTCATTTATAAACATCAGACCTCCTAAAACCCAAGCTGCTTCTTAAATCTTTTTGAAATTCCAATTCTTCACCTATAATCTATAGATGGTAATACCTGTCCTCACTACCTCTCAGTGACTCTGATTTGGAAAGTATGTGAAAAGACCTTGAAAACCAGAACTAAGTTTTTTTTTAAAGGTACCTTTATAAAGTAATTTCATTAAAAGTAACAATATATAGTAGATGTCTCTTGTAATCAGTCCTCCTTATTAATGCATGAAGACTCAAGGGAGACTCATGGTTACTAAGTCGGTAGCTAGGACTACTGTGCTGAATCACTAGCAGTGATTAAAAGTATGTGGATATGCAGATAGGGCTTGAGAGACCTACAACACTTGGTGTTTTCTGCATACATAATTAGCTCCTTCTAGTTCAGTGAATGGAACTCTTGCACAGTCTGATATGTGTGTGTGTAAGGGGCCTGGGAAACTCCTCATCCAGTCAGGGACCCGCCAGCTTCATCATCTGCTCCCAGTTACACTGTTGACTCGTCTGCGGGCCACCTCTGTCATCAGTTGGAAAAGCAGCAAAACAGAGTCCCAGGATGGTGGGACATAACACAGCTTTGGGTGGAGATGATTCAGTTTAGAAAAAGAAGACGGTTGGACACTGGAGCTGGAAGGCACCCTACAAATCCTCGGGTCCAGTTTCTCATTTTCAGCTTTACAGACAAGAACACTTTAAAGACTTTAAGACTCCAGTCTCACAAAGCTGTTTAGGGACAAAATCAGGATTATAAGTGGGTGCTCTGACTCCAGCCCAGTTCATTTTCTTATCTTGTAGCTAGTCTTGGGGCAAGATTTGTGCCACTGTACCCGCAGTCTACCCTTCTACCCTCAGAAAACCATAGGATTAAAAAATCGAAGTGGACTAAGCAGAAGGAAAGGATGCAATATAGGAAAAAAGGATTCTGAAATGCCATAGAGCATTTTTTAATCTTGTTTCTTCAAAATTATTTTTGTCACACCCATCACTGGAAACGTACTTCGCATATCTGTTCACTTTCCCTATTGCTAGTGTGGTTATTATGTGTCTTTTTTCCAGAATGACGGACAACCATGAAGTGTCAAAACAATGTGTCAACTACTGTCTGTCTCGAGAACTTCTGAGTGACTGTTCATTCCTATAAAATGTGGTTTTTGAGTGGTCCAAACGTGATATATTTTGAACCCCCAGCAGTGGGGATTCACATTCTTATTTGGGTTTTACATAATAAAATACATGTTACATGTTCTTTGCATAGTAATCTCTTTGTGTCTAATATGATTTTGATTTAATAGATACAAAATGTGTTTGTGATATAAAGTAATTTTCATTATCTTGGATACTTTCCTCCATATAGTACATATGCACCTCCATGCGGTCTCCCAGTGCTGAATTGTTACCTACTACTAATATTTCTTAAGCTCCGTGTGCCATGAAGGAAGGAAGGGAGGGAGGAAAGGAAGGAAGGGAAAAAGGAAAGGAAAGGGAAAAAAAGAGAAAGAATTTAAAGGTAAAATTGTCTTGCCTCTGATACCCAAGAAAAATAGGTTGTCAGGTTTAATAGACATTTTTCTTTTAACAAATATTTCAGACCTACAAAACACTGCAGAGCTTCCTACACTTTATTTTAATAATTTTCAGGGTTTTTTACAAAGTCATCTTACAGACAAATTTATGAGAGAGTGGTCAGGTAATTATAAATGTTTCAGAATACTTGTGTTTAATTATGTAAATGTACCCTAGACGCCAGGACTATGATATAATATAGAGTGTCTGCTAAATCTTTCAATAGATTTGGGTACAACAAAAAAGTTACCCACAACAAGAAGTTATGCAAATTACTAAAATCAAATTACAGGCTTGTAATTTTCCCTCTCCCACTGTTCCTCAGCTGATTTTCTTCTCTGTCCCCACCCTAACTCTGAGGCCACCATTGACTTTAAAGATGCATCAGTTCTAATAGTTGAGGGCTTTATGCTCACTTGGACTGTACATGTTACAAGGTACTTAGAAAGGAAGTTAAGAGTTGATACACCATTTAAAGAAAGATCAGTTTGATAGCTATGATACGTAGTTACCAAGATGTATAATTTTTAATAAAATTTATTCTAGGGGCGCCTGGGTAGTTCAGTCTTTAAGCGTCTACCTTCAGCTCAGGTCATGATCTGAGGGTCCTGGCATCGAGCCCCACATCAGGCACCCTGCTCAGTGGGAGGCCTGCTTCTCCCTCTCCCACTCCCCCTGCTTATTTATGTTCCCTTTCTGGCTGTCTCTCTGTCAAATAAATTTTTTAAAAATTCTTAAATTTATTCTAAAAACACATTCAAATTTGATCAATAGTTTCAACTTAACACATGGAACTAGACGTAAATCAAGAATAAAATAATTGATTGTGCCTCAAGAACATGATTTAGGTAATGGTATATGTAAGATGGATAAGATGAATTAGGGGCTGAAGTAGGTTGAAAAACCTTGCATGTATGTATACTTATCACAATGAATACTTCTTACTTTACAGCAGAGAACTCAAAATCTTAGAATGAATGATAAGGCTTGGCGGCTTTTAGCTAGAAACTCCAGCAAGCATCTTGTCATTGGAGCAGACTCGATAGGCTTATTCTTAAATATTGACCTTAAACATTCATTCCTCCCCACCCCACCTCCCGCCCCACATATAACTGAATAGTCTTTGGATCTTTGGGATTTTCAGAAACCATGTTTCATTTTCCATGCATTCAAGCACTGCTTAGTATTTGTTTAGCACACCAACAGATATAGTATGTCTGAACCACATAATGTTCTGAAAGTAAATTAAACATGTGTACACTGACCACTAAAAGACTTCTAGAATTAATGATGCTTCAATCTCTCAACGTCGTGCATTACCAAGATAGACATTAACGCAGTGGTGAGAAATTTTTAAATATTCTGAGCCTCATGATGTGACCATGCTGAGCACTCCAGAAAAGAGTAGATTATAACCCAAAACACCAAGTTGAAAGAACAGTACCTCCAACATCACCAGGAAAATACAGGCATAAAAGACACATCATGTAGAATTCATCCCACAGTTAGGGGAATCCTGATACTTTCCCAACATTTAATAAAGTTACATCAAATGTAAACACTAAGCAGACCTTAGAAATAATCCGACCAACCCTTCCTCATTGTTTTCTTGGCTCAGCAATGGATCAACGTGCAATTTTAGTTGTATTTTTATTACCGAGCATATATTTTAGGCAGAATTCTACCACTTAGAAATGTAAAGTCTCTGTCCTTCATAGCAACAACACAATCAACAAATGTCTGTTAAGCCCCAGGCATGTGTTCAATACTGGGATTGTTATAATGTGGCACTCTGCTAAGCCCCATATGTAAAAAGACCAGCATAAGATACAACAACCAGGTAGAGTCCCTGCCCTTAAGTAATTTATAATCTACACATTTGAAGCTGTTAGAAATTAATTCAATAATACATAGTAAGATGATTACTTGGTGCATCATTAACATGACATGCCTTGATCCTCTCTGCTCAGTTAACCTACTCCCTTAAGAGTCAACACCTGCTTCAAAAAAGTATTCAATAGAAGTTAAGAAATTTCAGTGTCATGGTTTTCTAAAATAGTACATTCATTATTCTAAGTGAATTACTTTGTACACTGTATTGGTTTTCTTTCCTTGTCTTAACAAATTATCAAACTTAGTTAAAACAACACACATTTATTATCTTACAGTTCTGCAGGGCAGCAGTCTAAAGTGGATTTCATAAAGCTAAATTCAAGATGTCAGCAAGACTGTGTTCCTTCTGCAGACTTCTGGGGAAAGTCTATCGCCTGGCCTTTCCCAGCTTCTGGAAGCTGCTTGGATTCCTTGGCCTCTGGCCCCTTCCTCCGTCTTCAAAGCTAGCAGCACCAGGCTGAGCCCCTCTCTCGCTGACATCTTCCTGTTCTCTTTGCCTCCCTCTTCCACTGTTAAATAGCCCTGTGATTACATTGGATCCACCTGGATAGTGAAAGAAATGCCTTCCCCTCTTTGAAGGTCATCTGATTAGCAGCCTTAATTTTACCTGCAACTTTAATTCCCCTTTGCCATGTAACAATATATTCACATTGTTGGGTGTACTGGGAGGGAGGGTGGCAGGAAGAGAGACACATTACTCTGTCTGCCTACCACATATATTGTCCCAAAGATTTCCTGATAGAAATTTTAAAGTAAAATATTAATTTCTACACTCAAATCGGTCAGTCTCAAGGTCTAGCCTAGTGATGGGTATCGAGGGCACGGATTGCATGGAGCACTGGGTGTTAGAGGCAAACAATGAATCATGGAACACTACTACATCAAAAACTTAGTGATGTACTGTATGCTAACTAATATAACCCAATTTAAAAAAAAAAAACAATAAATCCCTGGGATTGCTAGAAAACTCTTACAAAATGAATGTTTATGACTTGGACCCAACCAGATACTACAGTTAATAGATACTAACTTATCACTTAAGAAAAACTGCAATAATCACACTTGTATATTTTGATGGGTTGTTGATGTTTCTTGGTTTTCACCTGCAATGCATACTTTGTCGTCAGCTCGAGTAGAAATATTCTCTAAATCTTCATTTAATTCTGTATATTTCTGGGTGCTTATCTTCTCTCCTCCTAATTTTTCAGCACCCTTAGAGAAACCAGGAGTCTCTTCTCTTTTTTCTTCCTCTTTGGAAGGAGCAGGTTTTCCCAGAGATTCTACTACTTCATTTCTCAACTCATCTTCAGATTCTTCAAAATTTCTGAAAATAAGAGGTAAAAATCAACGTTATGATATCAAAACAATGAAACATACACATGAAAGTGTTTCCCATCTCACTTCCCATCCTCACTGAAGCAATTTAATAGTTGCATTTTCACCCAGGTAATGAATTATTTATTATATCAGTCTGGCTTTCCAGATGGACTAAAAAAAAAGCCAATATTGGGATAATCAGTATTCTGTTTACTTGGACTTGTGTTCAACAACCTTTATTATATTTGTTAATACCCATCTACTCTTAAAAGGAGAGGAAGAGAGAAGAATAAAACAGCTGCCATAGGGGAACCTGGGTGTCTCAGTGGGTTAAAGCCTCTGCCTTCAGCTCAGGTCATGATCCCAGAGTCCTGGGATTGAGCCCCACATCGGGCTCTCTGCTCGGCAGGGAGCCTGCTTCCCCCCCTCTCTCTCTGCCTGTCTCTCTGCCTACTTGTGATCTCTAGCTGTCAAATAAATAAATAAAATCTTAAAAAAAAAAAACAGCTGCCATATAGTGTGCCCTTATCATACACCAGCAACCACCCTAAAGCACTTTATGCATACGATATTTCATCTAATACAACATTTTGAGGTAGACATTCTCACCATCAATTTATAACGAAGCTGAGGCTCAGAGAGGTTAATGAAACTTGCCCAAGGTCTCAGATACTGAACAGTAGGACTAGGAATCGAAATTGTATCTAAGACCTCAGCATGGATATGCTTAGAAGGGGAGAAGGCAGGAGACCAAGAAAACCATCTCAATGATCCCTAATACTTACATGGCAAATAAAGAGGCTGAGGAAGATCTGGTAGGAGCCAAGAAAGTGTTAATCATGGACACCAAGGAGGCAGAGAATTTCCAGATAGGGAGCAGCCAAATAAGAGTAAGTCAGAAATGACAGTTGGACCTGGCAATTTCAAGGTAATAGATGACCTTTGCAAGAACATTTCAGTGTGCTATGTGGCAGGAACCATCAGGGGATCAAGAAAGCAGTAGGAGGTAAGCAAGCAGTGACAAGGAGCTTAAATTCCTTTGAGGTGAGCCTGGCTCTGAACAGATGGTGTTAACTCAAGAAGATGAGAGCAGTGATTTTTTGGTGTGTCTCAAGAAGGGACAGATTTGGGCATGTGTATATCCTGAGAGGAAGTAGGTAATAGATGTTAAAAATATAGGAAAAGGACAGATAATAGATAGGAACACATTTTCTAAGAAAGGCTGGGATTCAGGACACCTGTGTCAGGATGTGCTTTCAGCAGGAAAGAAGACGGTTTTTTGTCTCAGAAGGAAAATAGGGAAAGAGAAGGCAATGAGGACTCATGTGGATAGAGAGAAGTTACGAAACTAGACAAGACCATTCCACTTACAAACCACGTATTATCTCTGAAGTAGGAGGCACGGTCACATGATGAGAGTGAGGTGGATAGGGGTTAGCCTACTGGGTGGAGGGTTTGGAAGGAAGCAAACCAGGCATAGGATTGCCAGATACCACAGAGGACTTCACTAAAATTAGAGATCATAAATTCGGGGTAGACCAGCAACTAGAGCTCCCACTGTGAAGCTATCATTCCTGAGATACATGCTTACATGAGATCCTCCCTTTATCTTCATTCCTTTGTAGTTTAAAGTATGATGTATCTAGGTGTGAATTTCTTTTCATTGTTCCTATTGGTTATTGTTTTACTTCCCAGATATCACAATTTAAGGCTTTCAATGACCGTAAAAAGTTCACAGCTATAATTGCTTTGAATATTGCTTTTCTCTGATTCTCTTCTGAAACTCCTTTTAGATATATGTTGGACCTTCATGACTCTTAACTCCTCCTTCACATTTTCCATCATTTTTTACTTCAGGTCTGTCTTGCAGTTCTTAAGTCCCTCTATGTTTAAACTGTCATTTGATTTCTATTAGTGGATTTTTTTCATTTCTAGAAGTTCTGTTTGGCTAATCAGATATTCCTGCTCCCTTCTGATAGATCTGCTTTTTTTCTTACGTTTCCATTCCTTACTTTGATTAAATAATTTTAAAAATGCAGTTTTAATTATTATGTAAATATTAAATATTCATAGGATAGTTATATTATCTGAAGTTCTTTATGGTCTAATTCAGCTATTTTTTTGTGCTTGCTGTCTCTCATAGTGGATTCTATTTTTAGTTGTGAACTCATGTTCAGCAGTGCCTTAGTGAGAAACTTCAGTGTAGCCTGGGTTGAAGTTATACCCCTCCAGAATGTTTCGTATTTATTTCTTCTAGAGATCCCAGAGTATTTATGATTTCTTACTATTAATTTTAATGTTGATTTCTCAATATACATGTTTCCAGACAGCCAAGTATTGTAAATTCAAACTCTAAATCCAAGTGAATTCTCCCAGAGATTAAGACCAAACAGACAAGCTATATTACTGAGATTTTTTTTCCTTTGCACTTTCCCTTGCACTGAAGTGTAGCTCTTCAAGGGCTCCAGCTAGCAAGAATGTAAGGGAACACACTGAAGAAAACAAAACCTGTTAGATATGCAGGAGGTAAACAGAGATAGAAAGGGAAGGAAGAAAATTTAAAAACAAAACACAAAACTTCTAAAACAAAATGATCCTGTAAACTAAAATTCCAAAACATGTGAATAAATATAATGGTAAGAGAAAAATAAACAAAAAGAAAAAAATTTAAGTGGGACCAGGAACAAGGTCTAGATGGAATTACTCTTAGGGAGAATTTTGATAACACTCTTTAGCAGTTTGGACCCAAAGAGACATAGACAATCCTAAACACTCTTTAAGTATGCTCAAAAAGGTAAAGAACAGCATCCATTTTTAAATATTTTCAAATTAGGGTAAATAATTATGCAGTAATGAAACAAGAGCATATAAAAATATGAACAAACAAATATAATTCTTAGGAGATATGTAATCATTTAAATTAAAAACTTAATAGATGATACCCAGATAGTTTTGAAAATAGTATTTATGAAGTCACCTAGAATGGAACAAAGAGATAAATAAAAAGTATGAAAGTATAATTAGGTGTTACTGGGGACATTGAGAAGCTTACGAAGATTGAGAAGCTCCAAAACATATCTACTTAGAATACCAAAATGGGTAAAATAAGAAAAGCAACACCTGGAAAAGTAATGGGTAAAAATTTTCCAGAACTCAAGACAGTCATGGGTCTCAGAAGAAAGCGAGCCAAGCAGGATAAAAGAGAAGTCCAGACCAGACATACAACAGTGAAACATAAGAACATAAAGATAAAAAGAACATTACAGATGTGCTGGGGATAAAGTTAGCATATCTATAGAGGGAAAACAATTAGCATTCTCATCAACAGTGATAAAGATCAGGAGCATAATCATTGTCAACCTAAAATTGTATACCCAACTAAATTACAATTAAAACAATAAAAAAGATTTGGATATGCAAACAATAAGAATGTTTACCAGCCACTGAATTATCTTAAAGAATTATTAGAGGATATACAACAGCAAGAAAACTGAAACCAAAGGAAGACCACAGACTAGAAAAAAAAAAACATGGCAAGTTCAGAAAATGATAAACTACAATAGCAAATTAAGTTTGAGAATAAAAAAATGTTATTTTTTATTTTAAAAAAAGGTAAAATAGGATTATATGATTTGATGTCTCAAACGTAGAATGTTCTAAACTTTAAAAAAGGATGTAGGGGCAGGGTGGGCAGTAAAGAACAACACTGATCATTATTAAGCTGTATGATGGATACATAAGGTTTCATTACACTGTGCACTCTATTTTTACTATGTTTAAAAGTTTTCCACAATAAAAGATGTTTTTTAAGTAAAATTATAACTCTAGGTAACAATATCAGGATGGAAGGTTTTTAGTGGTTAGATATGTTTGTCGTATTCGTGAGGAAAAAAAAACACTGGACAAGTTCTGAATTTGTTATATCAATCCATAGGAAGTACATAAAAACTAGCTATTTTTTTTCTTTTTTTTTAAGATTTTATTTATCCATCTGACAGACAGAAATCACAAGTAGGCAGAGAGGCAGGCAGAGAGAGAGAGAGGAGGAAGCAGGCTCCCCGCAGAGCAGAGAGCCCGATGTGGGGCTCGATCCCAGGACCCTGGGATCATGACCTGAGCCGAAGGCAGAGGCTTTAACCCGCTGAGCCACCCAGGCGCCCCAAAGATTTTATTTATTTATTTGACAGAGAGAGAGGGATCACAAGTAGGCAGAGAGAGAGGGGGAAGCAGGCTCCCCTCTGAGCAGAGAGCCTGATTCGGGGCTCGATCCCAGGACCCTAAGATCATGACCTGAGCCCAAGGCAGAGGCTTAATACCCTGAGCCACACAGGCGCCCCAAAACTAGCTATTAAAAGAATCAAAATATAATCTGTATCTTCAAAACTAGTATAGAGGAGAGTAATATAGAAAAGTTTGTCAATGTAACAAAAGGTTAGAAAAGAAGAGGGGAAGGAAATGACAAATGAAAGCAAACAAAAAACACAAAATCAAGCTAAAACATAAAGCCAAGTATGTCAACAATGACATTTATTATATTAAACTAATTAGGAGGCAGAGGTTATCACAGGACAAGAAGCATATCAACCAGCTACATGCATTTTATAAGAAGCACATTATAATGAAACCACACAGAAATAATGAAAATAAAATTTAAAAATACACATTAGCAAAATCCTAAAAAATATAAAATAATTGAAAAGTTGTAATAGCACTGTCAGTATCCAACAAAATAGAATTTAAGACAAACAGTTTTAATAGGGACAAAAATTAAAACACATAATGTAAAAAGGGAGGAGTATACTACCAAACTGATAGAACAATCATAGTTTCTATGTATTTCAAGTACATCAAAATGAGGTAGAAATTTGAGGAGAAATAATCATAGCCACAAACCCAGCTGAAGATTTTAATGTACTTCCATCCAGAAGTGATAAGGGGTGGGGGAGGCTATAGAGCAGTTTCACAAAAAAAAATGTTTTAAGCTTGATAATTATAGAGAACATATGTGCCCCTGGAATAATAAGAATATGCATATTTTCAAGTACATGTGTAACAATCATAAAATTGACCCTGTACTGAATAGCAAAGGGAGTACCAATTAACTTTTTTAAATCACTAAAATTCAGTTGATGGTCTCTGTCCAAAGTACAAGTAAATTGGAAATTCTGATTTTAGAAAATGATTAAAAAATTCATTAGTCAGAAACTTCAAATTTGACTCATACCATTAAGAAAATGAATAAGAAAACCCAGACAGTGAGAAAATAATTGACAAAATATAGATATCTAACAAAGAACTGGTGGCAAGGATATATAAATAATGCCTATGACTCAAAAACTACCAAGACACCACATACACCCATTAGATTGGCTAAATTTTTTAAAAGAGACCATTCCAAGTGTTGGTAAAGATGTAGAGCAACTAGAACACTTAGGCACTATTTTGGGGGATATAAAATGGCCCAATAACTTTGGGAAATAGCTTGGCAGTTTTTTAAAAAACTAAACATTCATCTACCACACAACTCAGGCATTCTATTCCTATGGTTTTACTCATGAGAAATGAAATTTATGTCCACACAAAGACATGTACATAAATATTCATAGCAACTTTATTTATAATAACCAAATACTAGAAACAACCCAAACATCAGTCAGTAGATGAATATATAAATAAATTGTGGTATATCTATATAAGGAATACTACATAGCAATAAAGAGGAATGACCTATTGATACCTATTGATTTGGATGAATCTCAAAATTATTATCGAAGAGTAGGGTTCCCAGGGAAACCTAAAAAAGATTTGTGGATTTGGCTTTTGTCAAATAAAGTGAATAGCAGTAAGATTTGTGGAGCCCTCCAGATTTTCAAAAGAAATATTTATGCAGAAACATAACCAGTTTGGACCCAAAGGGACACAGACAATCCTAACTGAAAAGAGCCTGCCGGACTCCAAAATTCTACAGGCAGGAAGCAGGTTGAGAAAATTCTCTCCTCCCTTCCCTCTTTCCCTTCTTTATTTCTTAGGCAGGTTGGTTATGGAAAAATAAACAAGTAAGACTAGATAGAAAAATACTGGAAAAGGAGAGCATTTAAGGGAACTATCCTTCCAAAATAATAATTCATATTATAAAAAACATGTTTATAATACAATAATTGTACTAGAAAGAATGAGTTGGATGCAAGTATATATAAAAATGTAGTATATCATAGAAATGACATTTCAAGTTGTTAGAAAAATGAAGATTTTCCATAAATGTTGTTGGAATAAGTAAGGAGTTATTTAGAAAAAAGTAAAGCTGGAGCCATACTTTGCAGGGTAGTATAAGTGAAATTCAAGAGGAACATATTATTTAACTAACTAAAAACTAAATCATAAAAGTACTAAAAAATACTGGTATCATTTCTTATAATTGGTAAACCTAACTAGGTAAAAATGAGAAATTTCTACATGGCACAAGCCACTATAAATAAAATCAAAAGGCAAACAAAAAGCTGGGGAAAATATTCTAGAGTCATATTATAGATAAAAGATCAATTTCCCTAAAATGCAAAACTTTCCCCAAATCAACAAAATGTTAATAGTCTAGGGATGCCTGGGTGGCTCAGTGGGTTAAGCCGCTGCCTTCAGCTCGGGTCATGATCTCAGGGTTCTGGGATCGAGTCCTGCATGGGCTCCTTGCTCGGCAGGGAGCCTGCTTCTCTCTCTGCCTCTGCCTGCCTCTCTTCCTGCTTGTGTGCTCCCCCTCTCTCTCCTTCTCTCTGACAAGTAAATAAATAAAATATTTTTTTTAAAAAAATGTTAATAGTCTAATTTTTTTAAGATTTTATTTTTTTATTTGACAGAGACACAGTGAGAGAGGGAACACAAGCAGGGGGAGTGGAAGAGGGAGAAGCAGGCTTCCCGCTGAACAGGCAGCCCAACACAAGGCTCGATCCCAGGACCCTGGGATCAAGACCTGAGCCAAAGGCAGACGCTTAACAACTGAGCCACTGAGGTGCCCCAGTTACCTAATTTTTTAAACAGTTAAGGCTATGAATAAATTTTCCCCAATGAGGGAGTAAAGATGGATATTAAGCATATGGAAAGACAACCTTACTCAAAAAGAAATGCTAATTAAAACTAACCTGAAACCTCATTTTGAACCTATCAATTGTGCAATGATCCATAAGTTTGGTAACACACTAAGCAAGAAAACGTGCAAGTAGGCAGGTACTTCCATACTCTTCAGTGGAAGTGTCCATAGGTGTAACCTCTGTGAAGGACAGCTTGACAATAGCCAATTACAAACATCCATATTATTTGACCTCATACTTGACTTTCCTGGGTATTTAAACTGCATGTATACTACTATTTGTATATCATGATGGGTATTAAGGCTACAGTGGTAAGTGATAGAAGAAAATTGCAGGATAGCATGTATGTTAGGAAACTGTATAAAAAAAGAAAAAATACATACATATAAAGATCTACATATTGGCTTACAGTTTAATGGAATTCCTCAGGAGAAATGTGCACAGGAGGCATATCCGATTGGTTGATTCTAGAAGGGGAATTGTGTGCCTGAGGTAAAGAGATAGCAAGAAGACTATGAAAAGAGTATAACTTCTGAATTTGAAGCCATGTGAGGGTATTACCTATTTAAAAAGTAAATTATAAAATTTTTAAAATTCAAAGGATTCCAAATTTTAGAACTAATAAAAGAGTTCAGTAAGGTTACAAAATACAACATCAGTAATGTTCCATATGCTAGTAGTAGCCAAGTTGAAACACAGTGAAAGAAAAACAGCTCCATCAATAATGACAACAGCAACAACAACCAAGGTAAGTGGTACCTCTGTTGTGAATAAAATTACAAAAATGCCAAAGGATATTTTAAGAAAAGACATAAAGAGACACCGAGCTATACTACATTCATGGACGTTCCGATTTATGATTGTCAAGATGTCAAATCCTATAAATTAATCAACAAATGTAATCCCATTTTCAGAATCCCAACAAAGTTTCTCATGACACTTTACAAGAAAATGCAAAGATAATGTGGTAAGTAAAGGGCAACAACAGCTAAGATAATTTTGAAGAAAAAGATATGGAGACTAGAAGCAGGTATGGGACTACGCCTACCAGATACCAAAAGATATGGTAAAGGCACAGTAATTTAAGACGGAATATCACTCATGCTGAGATAGGAAACGATGTCATTGGGAAAGAACAGAGAGCCCAGAAACAAACCCTTGTGTGAGTGAAACTTGGTCTCCTCAGCTAGGTCTGAGACTATTGTCCATATCTCAGCAATAGCATTTTAACTTTCCACCAGTGCTTCATTCAGGTATCCAGACAGGACCTACTTACGTATCATCATCATCAGATCTTGGTTGTTCCTCATCTACTTCAATGCCAGAGGCCATTTCCATATTCCCCTCATCTTCTTTAGGAAGCCTTTGTTCTAATGTTCCCACTGTTAAAGAAATAACAGAGAGATTAAAGTCTCCCAGCCTATGTACACGATGTGGGGTATTTATCCCAAAACCCGTACTGGACATCACCCATGAAGGTAAACCTTCAAATTGTTTCCATTAAAACAGAGATGATGTCAGGTTTTTTCCTACATAACTTCAACCTCGCGGCAGTCAAGAGCAATGTAGAGACAGACTTTCCTAAAATCTCAAAAGCTAAAAGAGTTCACAGAAGAATTAAAAATGCTGGCTTCAAAACTTTGTCAGCATAGTCTATGTCTAGCCTACTTTCAGCCCCCACTTTGGGAATTTTGCTACGCATGTCTATATTAGTTGTTTTTTCCGGAATAAACCATCAGTAACTTGGTAGTTTAAAACAGTAGCCATTTATGGAGGTCTCTATTCTGCCATTAGGCAGTTTGGGCTGGGCTTAGCTGGCTCGCTCCTTCCAGTCTCTGTTGGACCCAGTCACCCATGTGCAGTCACTTGCCAGAGCAGCTGGAGGAAGGCTGGCTGGCCTGCTATGGCCTCTCTTGGGATGGCTTGTCTCTCTTTTCCACTTGTCTCTCATTTTCCAGCAGGCCAACTGGGGCTAGCCGAGAGATAGACAGGTTTCCAAAAAAAAAAAAAAAGAGGCAAAAGCTCCTTGAATACTCCGATCTGGCACACCACTGCTTCTATTCCTTTCTTCTCAGGCACACAAATCACAACAGCCAGTTGAGATCCAAGCGGAGGGGAAAGAAGCCATTTAATGCTGGAGGAGCTGCAAAGTCATGTTGCAAAGGGCAGGGATACAGGGAAGAGCAAAGCATGTGCTCATTTTGGTCACCTACCAGAATCTGCCTCCCCCGCCTGCACTCTGCAACCAAGTGGTTCCTACTGGGCTAAACTGCGTTTCACGTTAGTCTCCAGGAAAAAAAACAAAACAAAACAAAAAATCCTTACCCACTGCTAACAAGTGGGATTAGAAATAGGAACTTTTCTCCAAAGATGAAATTCAAACATTTAAAGTGCGCCTATTTTTTTGGTAAGCTGACTCTTCGTGGACAAACTATAAGTAGAAATTTTACCACACTGTACTTAAATATTTCTCTATTTCTAATAATATGTGTCATCCCAAATCATAGCCTATATTATTTCCTACACTGCATTATAAAATAAATGAGTTGACTGATGTTTCTCATCTGTGAGGGAGTCTGGCTACTTAATAGCAGCTTGAGTACTCTAGTTGGTGTGGGAATCATAGTTTTTGTTTTTCTGTTTTAGGAAGACAATTTTAGGAGGCTTTTATTTTTTGTTTAACAGGATAGGAGAAAGAATGAATGGCTAACTATAGAAATGTAAATCAGCTGTTATTGGGGTATGCATCTATGATATTACCAAGGCAACCATGTGGCCTGAAAACTTACACAAGAAAAATGGAGGTTACCTTCCCACCAAGGATGCCCTTGGAGTGGTTAAACTGTAAACAAACTTACTGACCTGAATTAATTATGCACACATTAAAAAAAAAAAATTTGTCCTTATAGTAAGAGTGTAGTTTTTACTAGTAAAAATCATCGAAGAGGATTTTACAAAGTCTTCCTATCTTAAACTTAAAGTTAGGATAAATTAAATAGGTAGTTGATAAAGTTTCACTTTTAACGGAATGCAGGGCTCGAAACATGAAAGCAATTTATTTTCAAGGAGTTGGAAGTTTAAGCTAAACAGTGATGGAGGACCTATGAATAATGCTTAAATGTATGACCAATAGCTAATCCTTGAAAACCTTTATACACTGTGTCTGTTATTCCTGCAGTCAAAGTTATTAAAACTTACACACGCAGGAAGTCTTCATGAAAAGTCTACACAGTCTTAAGAATTATTTTTCACATTATAATTTCCCTCTCCAACTTAACGGCAATATGACTATTGGTAATCACATGCCTTTGCATAAAGTAATACTAAAAACGTGCTATGGTTTCATGTTCATTCATAAAGATGATGGCCACCTGCTAAGTTCTAGGCACTAGGGACAGAGAGAGATGAAACAGTGTGGTAATCAAGACAAAGCTCTTGTAAGCTTAGGGTCTAGTGGGGAAGAAAGATAATAAGAATCAGAAATTAAAGTGAACATTATTTTTATGATCAGAGAATTACAGTGTCTTGTGGGGTATTAAGCAGCAAAGCCAAGCCTACAGTGATGCAAGGGAAGCTTGCTCAGATCTTTCTTAATCATTTAAAACAGTGGCTCCCCAACCGTGGAACACAGGAAATAGTTTGAGATCCAGGTTTTTCATACAATCACTAAAAATTCAAATAAAAATACTGCATCCTTTTATGACCTGAATTTAAAAGATAAATATAGTGATGAAATGTCACTATTTCATGCATTTAACAAAAATATTTGAATATGAACAAATTTGAGTATGAGACTGAATGACTATGAAATTGTGAGAAGCAGCTGACAGAAAAGGCAGGAAGGGATGCCTGGGTGGCTCAGTCGGTTGAGCATCTGTCTTTGGCTCAGGTCATGATCCCAGGTCCTAGGATCAAGTTCTACCTTGGGCTCCTTGCTCAGCAGGGAACCTGCTTCTCCCTTTGCCTACCACTCCCCCTGCTTGTGCTTGCTCTCTCTCTCTCTGGCAAATAAATAAAATTAAAAAAAGAAAAAGGCAGGGAGAGACTAAACAAACTTGAAGACTTCCTAGAATTGTTTTGGTTTGAAGAGAAGTATATTAATATGGTGACAGGGTCTTCCACTCACTCATGCAAAAAAGAGCACTTAAGGATCTACGTCATTCCAGACCCCTTTACAAAGCCCCATCAGGTAGTACAGGGAAAACCAGGGAGAGAAGGATACCCACACTTCACCACCTCACCACCCACTATGACACATAGTGACAGAAATGGGAGGAGGTTCACCAGAGGGAAATCTTGCAGGAGGAATTATCCTGGCAAAAGGAGGCCGGCATTCTAAGCCGAGGGAGGAGCATCTGCTGAGGGAGAAAAACTAGCAAGCCTAACATTGCAAAGGGCCATGCCAGTCTTCAGAGTCTGCAAGAGACTGATTTTATCCTGAGGGTAAGAGGGCATCTTTGGCAGGATTTTAAGCTGAAAGGAGATTTGGTCCATTTTAGGTAGATTATCCAGCAAGGCTGCAAAGGGTAGAGCTAAAGTAAGAAAAGATGACCAGGGACAGGAAGTCAAGAGGCCAACCATAGTTAGACGCAGAGCACAGCTGGAGTTGGGGGAGCGCAGCACCCTAGCAGGCTGTAAAAGAAAACATCTGTACCCTCCTTTGAATGCACCTTGGGAGGCACATTCCTATTTCCAATCTCACTTGACAGATAAATTGCTCATATATGCCCAATGTAAAACCATCCATATAAAGATACAGAAGTTCATGAATGAATTAATTTGGCATGACAGACCAAATGAAGACTTTCCTTTGACTCTTTCTAAGACACACAGGAACAAATTCAAGAAAAAACATCAAAGCCACCAAGTATGTCCCCGTCTCAGTGTCTTGAGAAATGAATGCCATCCTTCACACCTGCCCTAGGGTTCCAGCCCTTGGCTTCCAGGCCAACCCAGGTCAGCCCAAAGGTTCCTCCTCACCACCTCCAGCCCCATCCTTAGGGACAAGGCTTGTATCCCAGGATGGAAGGGAAGGAAGCAAACAGACAAAACACGGCTTCTTGGGGCACCTGGGTGGCTCAGTGGGTTAAAGCCTCTGCCTTCGGCTCAGGTCATGATCCCAGGGTCCTGGGATTGAGCTCCGCATCGGGCTCTCTGCTCAGTGGGGAGCCTGCTTCCCCTCCTTTCTCTATCTGCCTACTTGTGATCTCTGTCAAATAAATAAAATCTTTAAAAAAAAACAAACACGACTTCTTGTAATTTGAATGTAATAGAAAGAGGGTCCCAAGGGCAGTTTCTTCCTTTCTTCCTCTCTCTCCCCTTAACTTTTAAGCAACAGCATGGTAACTGATAGAAGTCGCAAGAGTGAAGGATTTCGAAGGACTTTATATACTCAGGAACCCTGGGCCCCTTGCCTGCTCCTAGATTTCAGTCCAACCGGTTTTCTCAGAGTCTGCCACAGGCCTGTGTATCTGCAAGTCCTCCCCTCCCAACACATTCATCCTTCTGGACATTCTTGGAAGACTTTTACACAGATTTCCCAAAGATTGTGGAGTTTAGGCTTCACAAGCCGGCAGACCCACTCTTGGGCAATCATACTTCTCTTACATTATCCTCAGGGTGGTACATATTTTTGTATTGTTCCTTAACTTTGTAAGTACTTAACAGCCTCCATTACGCCTAGTTTGTATCTCTGCCTCCTTATTGCCTCAATCTCGCATTCTTGAAACATGGGTCCCTAAGCGCTGCACACTGCACGCCTTCCCAAGACAAAATCCCCACGACATGAATTCCCTCAACCTTGGGAAAGGATGGTTGGCTTCCCATAAACACCAGCATCATCTTGCAAAAAGTCAGAGATAAAACAAAACAAAACCTTCCCCGAAGCCCAGAAACTATATGACGATGTATTTTCATTGCCTATAGAATAGCAATTTGAGCCTGTCGAGTAGCTGTCAGAAACATACTGCCAGGTAGAGCTAAGCAGTACCCGCTTACCACCTACAAAGCCACTTGCCCTATTCACTTTCATCAGTTGTCAACTGATCCGTTAAAGTAAATTACCCCCATTCTTCTGGGGAGCTCCAGTCTTGGGTTGCTGGCATTTGGAACAGACTTGGACAAGGCAAATCAGCTTCTGAAGAGGCTGAGCCCTTTCCAGTTCTCTGTCCAGGCTGAAGGTATTTTTACCCCCTGTCCAAATTCACAGGGCTCTGATAACAGTACCCAGGGGACTGGTTATGTTCTTAAAAATAAACTGCGTACCCCATTCGCCCTCGTGGGCAGAAAACGAGCTACTTGTCAGACGTGCTGCAGCCCAAGCACTCATTAAAGCTCCAGGCGCTTCATGCCGCCACCGTCTCCTGTTTTCTGGAATGCCTGAGGTCACCATCCCTTGGCCACCTGAGGAGGAGACTGTGTTACTGGAAATAAAAATGCTTCATCTGGCTTCTTATAAAATCACAGAACGTGAGAACCTTGGAGGTAGCTTGATCCCACCCCTCGTGTTACCAGTAAGAAAATGGAGATAGAGAATATTTTAGTGACTTACGTCACACGGCTAATGGGCATGAAAGTCCCTTGCTTTGCAAACACTTTAGTGTGTCAAATTTTCTATTCTACCTATTTTAAACTGGTCTCACCGGCTTAGAATGGATTAAATTGCTACATTTGCAAGCCCTTTCTTGCAAGTTTGAGGCCTTCAGTGTTTTGTAATGGTACAAATGTAAGTCAGTTCACACACTTATAAATGTCAGTGATACACTTGCATTTTCCAATTTATAAAAGGGGTATAAATTTTACTTCTCCCCCAGCCCCATGTTATCAAGAGAAACATAGGAAATAAGTAATAAAAGTCCTTACCATCTGTAAAAAGAACACCCAGATGTTGCTGTGAACTTCTCTTATGCAAAGACTATGCCAGAAGCTCAAATGTAAATGGAGGAATTTCGGTGGGAAATATCATATTCTAAACACTCTTAACATTTAAATAGCACATTGGCGTACAAAGCAACTTTATATTTATTTTTGTACTGCTAACTCTAAACCTTGTGGGATAGCTATTATCTTAATTCGGATTTTATTGATGGAAAAAAACAACCCCCTCCAAGAAATTCCAAGGAAATAATTGGGCTAGCATGGAAGACAGGTCAAGCCAACCACTCCTCCTTAGACCATCTCCCTCAACTGCAAGGGAGGTGGGATTCTAGATCTTTCCTCCTTTATATTCTCATATCTGGGGTGGTCAGTTGTCTAGGATACTTAGCAGGCAAGTTTCTCAGGAGGTGAGGGAGATACCAAAACATTATCTTTGGAAGATATTTGATATCAAATCTATAGGGATTGTACTGAAAAGAGAACTATGGAATTAGGGTGTGGATTCACTCTCAGGCCCAGTGGAGCAGATAGAGGGTACGTCACCCGCTGTCATCATCTCCAGCAGAGTCCGAGGAGCTTGCGTGTCCCACCGTCTCCTGCTCTCTGCAGCAGAGCCAGGGTCTTGAATGAACAACTCTGGGTATGAGAAAATAACTCATTAATTTAAAAGCAGTCAAAGCACAACTAATTGCACCAAAGAGTTCTTAGGAAATCCAGAAGTCGTTCACCTGTGGGTGCCCTCAAAAACAGAGAAATTACCAACTTATTCTAATATACATTGTTACAGACTGAATGCTATGTCCAACCTCTCCCCAAACTCCTATGTTGAAATCTTAGGAGGTGGTGGGGTCTTTGGGGGAGTGATGAGGCCTTGAGGGTGGAACCCTCAGGAATGGGCTTCGTGCTCTTATAAAAGAGACCCCACGTGGGGCACCTGGGTGGCTCAGTGGGTTAAAGCCTCTGCCTTCAGCTCAGGTCATGATCCCAGGGTCCTGGGATCAAACCCCACATTGGGCTCTCTGCTCAGCAAGGAGCCTGCTTCCCTTCCTCTCTCTCTCTCTGCCTGCCTCTCTGCCTACTTGTGATCTCTGTCAAACAAATAAATGAATACATCTAAAAAAAAAAAAAAAAGAGACCCCCACAGAGCTCCTCACCCTTTCTGCTAAGTGAGGACATAGCGAAAACATGGCAGTGGGCCCTCACCAGACACCAAATCTGTCAGCACTATGCTCTTGGACTTTATAGCTTCCAGAACTATGAGAAATAAATATTTGTTGTTTATAAGTCACAGAGTTAATGGCATTTTGTAAAGCAGCCCAAACGGACTAAGACAGACTATAACTTACAAGACTAAAATTATCAACAGGTTTAAAAATTGTTTCACTTTTATTATTAACATTTGAGTAACCAGGTAATATATCTAAATGCAAACAAGTATTAGTAACAAGAATGGACACATTCTGTGAGGCATCTCTGAGCATTTTACTTCAGTTTCCATAGAAATGCAATCAATTGTTACCTTTTTCTTTTTAAGTTTTATTTATTTGAGAGACAGAGTGAGAGTCAGGGGTTGGGGGGTGGCAGAAGGAGAGGGAGAGAGAAACCCAGACTCCACGCTGAGCACAAGACTGGGTCTCATGACCCTGAGATCAGATCTGACAAGGAAACTGAGTTGGCCACTCAACTGACTGTACAGCCAAGACACCCTGAGTTCTGTTATCTTAATTTTAAAAATCTTTTTCTTTATTTATTACAATGTCTCAATATAAGACATATGAAAATCACCCATAATCTCACCATCTAGAGACCATGAAAATTTCAAAACTTTCCCCTTGAATATAGTTTGTTTTGAAACAAAAAATGGACCTCACACCATGTGCAACTTTCATAACTTGCTCTTTCCAATGAGCAACATTATCATACCCACCTTATTAACCACTGTTCTTTACAACCATTTTATTTTAAGATTTTTATTTATTTGACAGAGAGATCACAAGTAGGGAGAGAGGCAGGCAGTGGGGGGGCGTGGGGGGGAAGCAGGCTCCTTGCTGAGCAGAGAGCCTGATGCGGGGCTCGATCCCAGGACCCAGAGATCATGACCTGAGCCGAATGCAGAAGCTTAGTCCACTGAGCCACCCAGGTGCCCCCTATACAACCATTTTAAGGCAATTACAGTATTCTGTTTCATGAGCGTATTATAATTTAATTTTTCATGGTTGGGCATTTTGTTTTCTAGCCATTTTTCACTATTATAAATAATACTATAAATGAAATCACTGCAGCTAAATGTTTATGGACGTTCATGATTTTTACTCTAGATAAACTATTGAAAGTGACAATTCTAGGAGCTAGTATTAATTACTTCACCAAAGCTTTTCCCTACTTAAGTGGAATCTATTACTAATTTGTTCATGATTGTGCTCCATGTATTTTGAATAGCTAGTTCTTCCTTATCCAAAAAAACAAAACAAAACAAAAACCCCCACAAAACAAACTCACCTATATTTTCTTTTACTTCATTTTCTTTTTTTTTAAAGTTTTTATTTAAATCCCAGTTAGTTAACATACAGTGTAATATTCGTTTCAGGTGTGCAATATGGCAATTCATCAGTTACACACCCAGTGCTCATCACATTAAGCCCTCCTTAATCCCCATCCCCTATTTCACCCACGCCCACCACCTCCCGTCTGGTAACCATCAGTGTGTTCTCTATAGTTTCTTGGTTCTGTTTCTTGGTTTACTTCTCTCTCTCACTCTTTTTGTCCCCTTCGTTCATTTGTTTTGTTTCTTAAGTTCCACATATGAGTGAGAACATATGACATTTGTCTTTCTCTATTTCATTTAGCATAATACTCTCTAGCTCCACCCATGTCATTGCAAATGGCAAGATCTCATTCTTTCCGATGACTGATATTCCACTGTATATATAAGTATGCCACATCTTTATCCATTCCTAAGTCTATGGACACTTGGGCCATTTCCATAGTTTGGCTATTATAGATAATGCTGTTATAAGCATTGTTATAAGCATTGCATGTCTCCCTTTGAATTAGTATTTTTGTACCCTTTGGGTAAATTCCTAGTAGTACGATTGCTGGATCATAGGATAGCTCTATTTTTAACTTCTTGAGAAATCTCCATACTGTTCTCCAAAGTGACTACACCAGTTTGCATTCCCACCAACAGTGCAAGAGGGTTCTCCTTTCTCCACATCTTTGCCAACACCTGTTATTTCTCTTCTTGTTGGTTTTAGCCATTCTGACAGGTGTAAGGTGACATCCATTGTAGTTTTGATTTGCATTTCCTGATGACCAGTGATGCTGAGCATCTTTTTATGTATCTGTTAGCCTCTGTCTGCTTTGGGAAAATATCTATTAATGTCTTCTGCCCATTTTTTAAAAAGATTTTATTCATTTATTTGACAGACAGAGATCACAAGTAGGCAGAGAGGCAGGCAGAGAGAGAGGTGGAAGCAGGCTCCCTGCTGAGCCGAGAGCCCGACACGGGGCTCCATCCCAGGACCCTGGAATCATGACCTGAGCTGAAAGCAGAGGCTTTAACCCACTGAGCCACCCAGGTGCCCCATTCTGCCCATTTTTAAATTTGATTTTTCATTTTGGTGGGGGGTTGAGATTTTTAAGTTCTTTATATATTTTGGAAACTAACCCTTTATCAGATACGTCATTTGCAAATATCTTCTCCCATTCCATAGGTTGCCATCTGAGTTTGATTGTTCTTTTAATTCATTTTCTAATATAGAAATTTATTTTTATATATAAACTCTTTGGTTCTTTAAAAATGTATGTTGTTGTATCATTATATTAGGTCTGATTTCACAATTTTTCCCAAATTGTTAACCAACTGGCCTAGCAGCATTTATTTGACTGAGCCTTTCTTTCCCACTGACTTTGATGTAACTTTCAACATACACCAAATAACTATCCACCCTAGGGTTTGTTTCTAAACTATTTCTTCTTCTCACTGATTTTCTGATGCTAGTGTCATATTGTTTTATAATTTATAGAATATATTTTGATATTTGAAAGTGTTTGTGCCCCTTCACTGCTCTTCTTTTCTAAATTTGTCTGCTTAAGAGTCTCCAAGATTCTCCAATATGCCAAGATGTCTCCATTTTTTTGTGGCTTTGATGATTTTGATTGAAAATGACAAAATTCCATATATTTATTTGGAAAGAATATTTCTGGTACATGACAATGTATGTATCCCCATTTATTCACGTGATCTGTAAATACTTCAGTAAGTTTTCATAGTATTCTTCACATGCTCTACATAATCCTTGTAAAGTTTATTCCTAAATTATATATGAACACACACACATTTGCTGCTGTTACTGGAGATGAGATCTGAAAACCAAATGGCAAAAATATTTGCAATACATATTACAGGTAAAGCTTTAACTTGAAGAGTCTTATAAAGGAAAAAAAATAAATGCCATTTTCAGTGGATAAAGGGATGAAAGTTAAGAGCCCATAATTCACAAGAGACATAAGATGGCCAAATCCTAAGGAAAATTATTTTCAACGTGAATTATAAGAATGCAGACAAGTTAAAAGACAATTTTCAGTATGAAACGGAGATCATTTTAATTAAAAAAAAGGGGGGCAGCTATCTCTTTTGAGACCTATAACTCGTGATCTCCTCTTCCCAGCAAACTTACACAAAGAATAACTCTGGAATTCATCACTTTCACTGGAACTTTCGCTCAGGCCACTAAGGGATCCTGGTGGCCAAAACGTTGGCTGTTTGTTATTCAACCCACCTCACTTGGCCTTTCTCTTCTAGTTAATGCTGCCAACCCTGCACCTTCTTCTAGAACTTCCTCTCCTCCTTTGGCTTCGCTCTCTCCGGATTTCCCCAAACCTTGTCTAAACATTGCTAAGGTCTGTCCTAAGCTCCGTTTCCTTCTCACTCTAGTCCCTCTGCCTAGGTATTTTCAACTATTGCTAAGGCAATTATGATAATACCTTGTGTATGCTAAGGAAACCTTGATTTGCCCCAGAGCTTAGGTCTCACATAGCTAGCATCTTCTAGGCATCTCCATCTGAGGCTCATAAAGACCTAAACGCCAGTATGTCCCAAATCTAGAGTGTTAAACTATGTCCCCTCACCTTCCTCTGCATGATGTGTGTGCCTGTTTGGTTGGTGACAGCTTCATCCATCTGGATTAGAAAACAAGAGGGTCTTTGACCTCCTTCTCTTCCTCAACCCCCATACTCAGTGGTCTGCACTTAGTGTCTATTCTCACCACACTGCTCTGCCGTACGCACCTGTTATGTCCCACCTGGACTGCTATCCTCCTGCCATTAGTCCTGCCACCCCACGCCCTCCTGACACTGCGGCCAGCACGAGCTTTCTCCATCACAGATAGGAGTTAATTCCCGTTGACCAAAGGTCAGCACACAGGGTAGAGCCCAAGCTCCTTAGCAGGCCAGGCTCTGTAGGAGTGGGTACCTCCCTGGCTTTAGCCAGCTGGTGCTCTAACGATGATTAGCATTTGGGCTCAGCAAACATGTTTTGTGCCTCCTTTCTTTGGCTCACAACCCCACAGTGATGTTGAAGGCGGACCCAGTTTTCATTCATCTTTGAGATCCCCACCACCTAGTACAGTCTGTGCACCTGGGAGAATCTCCATAAGATGCCTGCTGAACTGAATGAAGGTTTTTCCAGATGGAAATGAGGTGAGATGGATTATTCCAGGAAGAAGAACCTGAGCCAAGCCAGGGTGTATAAGTGCTCACACAGCTCTATGAGAGAGGGGTGCTCCGGGAGGCTGTCTGGATCCCATCATCAGTGGGAAGAAAGGGGGGTGCTGGGGCAGGAAAGGAGGGTCACCACAGGATCAGGCTCCACAGCGTTAAATAAGATAATATGTGGAATGGACAATGGGGAATCCTGCTGGCATTACCCAAAAAAATTGAAGTAGAAGACTAATATAACAAGCTAACTCCAGCAGCCATTTAGAGAATGAAGGGGGAGATACTAGAGAAAAGAAAACACATAGGAGAACAAGGCAGTATGGTGAGAGGCAAGAAAAGAGCAAATTAGAAATAGCATTTATTAAGCACCAATATGTGCCAGGTGTTTATATATCAAATTTCACTTTCGTCCCCCAATAAACCTGTGTGGCAAGTCCTGTTATCCCCATTCCTAGAGGAAGCTGAGATTCAGAGCACTGCAGTCACTTGTGGAAGGTCACCTGGTCAGAAAGTGGCAGCGCCAGCTTCCAAACTCCCGTCTGTCTCCAAAGTCCATGCACTCACTTTCTACCACTTTCTACCTCACCACACCGCTGAGAGGTGACAGGGCCCGAAACCACTGGCAGAGGGAACGAAGGAGGAAAACTCCAGAGACATCTGAGGGCAGAGCCCACCCCAGCTGAACAGCAGGTACTGCCAGGCTGCTGCTGGCCGTACCCGCAATAAAAGATCATCGGGAAGGAAGAGCTCTGAAATTCAAGTGGACAAATGCAGAGTGTGCGAGACTAGTGGGACTTGTCCATGGAGCCTTCCAGCAGATAATGAGGAAAAAGGATGGCATGGAGCTGCTGGCTGGGGTCAGCACAGAGCAAGGCCTGGGTCTCAGGTGGCAGAGGACCAGGGGCTCTGCCCAGCAAAGGGACAGTGATGTTGCAGGTGAGTGAGGACGGGGACTGTGATGGACTGCTGGTAAAATATCCCTTCTCATCTCTGGCTTCCAAGGGCCATGACACATACCTGCTTCTGGGCCACAGAGTTCTTCAAATGCTTTGTCTGTATACTCTTCATACTCCTTCACACATTTATATTCCTTAAGCTTCATGCCATCCTCAAAGGTTACAGTTTTATTGCACACATCCATTGCCTAAAGCAAGGCCACAGTGTTTCATGACAAGCCATATTTTTGAGAAAAAAAGTATGTTAAAAATTTTTTGCGTGTTTCCAGTAATGACATTTCCTAAGGCATATGGTAAGTATTCAGTATATGTATATTAAACCAATAAGTTATAGCACTTTATTTTTCTTTAAGATTTTTATTTATTTATTTGACAGACAGAGATCCTAAGTAGGCAGAGAGGCAGGCAGAGAGAGAGGAGAGAGAGATAGGAGGAAGCAGGCTCCCTGCAGAGCAGAGAGCCCGATGCGGACTCGATCCCAGGACCCTGGGATCATGACCTGAGCGGAAGAAAGAGGCTTTAACCCACTGAGCCACCCAGGCGCCCCAAGTTATAACACTTTAAAACTGGAACTATGTTGGAACAAGATAGAAATAGGAGTGTGTTTATTTCTTCTACTTGTCGACAGTGACAAGCACTGATCATGTGGCAAATTGATTTTATCCAGACTTGCTGCCTTCAATATAATTCTCCTGAGGTTCCATCCTACAGAACTCTCAAGGTTGTCTTGTCCACGCCCTGCTTCAGGTGCACAACATTCCCAATATTGGTCCCTAAAACTCCTCCTGACACTCCCTGATCAATACTAAAATGATCACTCTGTTTCAAGCACACCAAAGCATCGAGTAACAAAGGGTGAACATCCTGGAAGATAAAACTGTTGACTCCATCCCTTTATACCACCAGGCCAACCTCAGCTCCTGGCTTCATGGGAGCACTGTGGCTCCATCCCAGAAATAGGCCTCCTTTGATCCTCCTGGTTCTGGGACACCAAGATGCTGAATGCTCAAAGAAGTGAGAGTTCACAGTCACCACTCTGAGAAGTCCCTATGTGACAAAATGGTAGGAAAAATCTCAAAGGTAAGTAGAGCACAGAGGATTCTTAGGGCAGTGAAAATATTCTGTGTGGTACCATAATGATGGATAAAGGTTGTTACGTCAAAACCCATAGAAAGTACAGCACCAAGAGTGAACCCCAATGTGAACTGTGGACTTGGTTGATTATGATGTGTCCATCTGAGCCCATCAGTCGTAACAAATTTTCCACCCCTGTGGGGAGAGACTGTACATATGAGGGGACCAGGAATAGATGGGAAATCTCTGCACCTTGTGCTCTTTTTTGCCATGAACTCAAAACTGCTCTAAAACATGAAATCTATTCAAAACAAAAAATCAGAAAGAAATGATAACATTAAACATTTTTGTGCTAATGAAGAACATGAAAGAAAGAAATTGAGTATCAGATGTGATACAGAACCTATTACATCCACACACATAACTTTTGGTCATTTAAAAAGCAAAGTTAGAGAAGGTGAAATGGAAACACAAATCAGTTGATCTTGATATTTGTTAGCAGGTCTGGTAAAAAGTGGGATTAAAAACGATGTTGAATGCAAGTAATAAAATGAGGTTTGAGTTTACTATACGTGTGTGTTTTATCACTGTGTCAATGAGAGCCCAAGTGCATAATTGAGATTCACCCAAAGACTAGCACAAAGTTATCAATAACTAATTAAGACCTAAATAAATGTGCATGGTTTCAGGATATCTGCTCAGTTTTTTAGGTAAGTATATTAGTTGTTGACTATAATTAAGTCTCTTATTTTAATTTGGCAATGGCAAGAAAGTTAGTATTATGAGGGAAATAATTCCTTTATAAGAGAAAAGTAAATTAAATTGGAATAATCCATCTAAGGGAATAATCTCAATGAAAAGATAATGGGAAGATAAAAAGGCATTTTGGAAGACTGGTTTGAACACTAGAGATCCTTCTAGGAAGATTAAAAAAAATTCTCCCTATATCCTACGGAAATTTTCATTAAATGTGCTATTAAGACACTCATTTTTCTTATACCTGTTAATGGAAATAAATACTTAATGGCATACCTCTTCCTCTTGGAGGGTGTTTTCATCAGAAATACATTGGTTTAAACTAATTTCAAACTTCACCCCTCTCTAGAAGAAAGCAAGGAAAATAATGTTAGTTTAGCAATCCAATAAAAATGTTAAAATCACAACTCCTATTTGGTATTACGCATACTTAAAGCCATTACTCAAACATCACAGAATTAGGCAATTCCATAAAATAGTAGGGGGGAGAATCCTGTAGGCAACCCAGATTGCAAGGTGGGGACCCTCCAGCGAGCCGTTTAATATGACATCATAAGACAAAATGATTATTACCTTAGCTTTACAGTTTTGTTCTAGAACTAAACTTTCCTTTATGTTCTGAACTCTCATTTGTTTCAAGTCTCTTTCAATGTCCTGCAAGTTTAGAAAAAAATTAATATCTAGCATTTAATATTGATCAAACAATTATAGTTTCACAATCCTTGAATTCACAGCATGGTCTATTTATATTATTTGACTTCTGGGTTGAATCCAATAATTAATTTGAGAATAAAAACATGCCTTTGTAAAGGAAAGTCAATAATAATTCACTAAAATCTTGGACACAGCACCCATTAACTTGAAATATTAATACACTGAACAGGGGCATTGCAATGGGGAAAACTCCATAATGTGACAGTGCTTGTCACTCTGGTCCAGTACAATCTAAGCTAATTCAAGAACGCTTTGAAGATTTTACGTATTTAGTTGAGGGAGAGAGGGAGGCAGGGCAAAGGGAAGAGCAGACTCCCCACTGAGCAGGGAGCCCGATGCGGGGCTCTGTCCCGGGACCAGGAGACCATGACCTGAGCTGAAGGCTGACACTTCACCGACTGAGCCACCCTGGCGTCCCCCCGACCACTTTAAAAAAGATTTTATTTATTTAAGAATGTAATTTTGTCTATAGGAGCCCTTCCTTAAGAGGCTTACGATGGTGATCAGGAAAACAAGAAAAGTGCACAGCTCATAATAGTAAAAAGGAAGGTGAAGGCTCTAAAAATTGACAGGCAATTTCAAAGAAGAGAAGACTGTGGGTGGATGACAAGAATGTCAAAGGAGCTCTAAGTTCTGAGCTTTCTCAGGGTCCTGTCCTGGGCCCTTTGCCCTTCTCTTCCTCAGTGCACCGTCTCAGCCATTCCTGTGGAGAGAAGCCCCACCTTTATGCCAGGACTCTGAAATAATTGTCTCCAGGTTTGCTCTTTGCCGCAACCCCCCCCCCTTACCCCGCCACGAGCTGCAGGCTCACATACTCAGCCGCATACTTAGCAACATCTTTACTCTGACATTCATTCCACAAACCCACACTGAGCACCCACCATGGGCCAGACACTGTCCTCCACAGGGCATTAGTGCAGCGAAGGTGACCAAAGGTCCCTGCTGACATGGAACTTACATTTTATTGGAATAAAATGGGTAATCCATGAGGTAAATTAACAACATAACTTCAGAAAGTACTAGGTGGTAAAAGGAAATAAAATAGGGTAATAGCATAGAAGATGAGCACAGGTTGAGAGTAACATGGGAAAAGCCTATCTCGGCATTCGGCGTGACCCCTGGGATGCTGTTGTACCGTGCGTATATGAAGGTCTGGAGAAAGCGTGTTCTGAGCTGGGGGGCAGTGAAGTTGGCACCCTGAATAGGCCTTGAAGCCCTCAGACTTTCTCTCACTCAACTGATGTCCGAAGTGGAACTCTTGACTGCCCCCCACAGCAAGCTTGCTCGCCACTCTTCCCAGTCTTTAGTAAAAGGTACGATCCCTCTCCAGCCAGAAGCATGAGTCTCCTTGGTGTGTGTGTGTGTGCGCATGCGTGTGTTTCAATTCTGTCTTCTAGCCATTTTACACAAGGTCTCTATCATCTCTCCTTGAGAAGTAATTGCTGCCTCATCAGTAGGTACTTAACATACAAGATGTGTTGCCTTGACTCACTATTACCCGTTTGCCCCACAACCCTGGGAAGGCTGTTTTTCTGCCTTGCAAGATCCTGAACTATGAAACAGGACTGTGATTTTGTATCTTACTTTCTTTGTGAGGTTGGCTGTCTGATTGGATTGTGTAGTCTGGTTGTCTCAATTGTAGAAGAAGTGTCCTATTTCTCTATTTTCCTTAAAATACAACCATCTTAGACTCCTGAACCCCGTCCCCCTGACTCAGTCCACTGTAGAGCTCCCCAGCATCAGGTCATGGAAGGTCCCAGGGTTTTTCACAAGGCAAGACACTTTTGGTCATCTCTCAACATGGGTCCCCCTCACCTGCCCTTCACCAAGCCTTTGTGGTACCTTGAAGGTAAAGGTGAAAGACCTCCCAGAAGGGAAAAACCAAAAAGCTTCTTGAGAGCCATGGGATAGTTCATCTCTGCCCAGTTCCCTCTTCCCACCAAAAACACAAGGTTGAAGTGGAAAGACGTTAACCATCAGACTTCTGACCAATGTGTCTGACCCTGACTTGAACATTATCCAGAATGCTGAGCTCTCATACATGCCTGAGAGCAGCTCTCATACTCAGCTGCACCCCGAATTGCCCAGCCAGCTGCTGCAAACAGGGTGCCTGGGCCCCACCCCCAGACCATCTGGGCTGGAGCCCAGGCATCTGAGCTTTTAAGAACCTTCTCGCCCATGGCTCCCCTGCACAGTGAGGGCTGAGAACTTCTGGGCCAGAGGCAGTTCACTGGGAAATGCATTATCACCTCATTATAACCATCACCTGCATACAAGCTCCTTCCTCAGGTGCCTCTTGGTGGATGGGCAGGTCGTTTTTCTTCACTAAATAGGTTTTATGACTTATTTTTGAGTCCTCCTAAAAGTACAAATTATACAGTCAATCGGATTAATTCTTTTTGGGTTCTGAAGTCCACAGTGTGGACCGTGGCCAGTTTTGAATGGGATCTAGTGAGGAAACGCTCTCCTCCCACTGCCCAGGCGCCATCATTGAAAGTGGCTGGAACAGCACCCTCCTTCCAGGTCCCTTCCCCTGTGGCTGCCCTCGGCAATCCCCCACCTGCATCTTTCCTGGTCTCTCTAGAAAAGTCTGCTATCCATCCTTCCTGGACTCGGGTTTCCCATCACAGATGTGCCTTAAAAAGAAGGCTGAGGCTCCTCACCATTAACCAGCCTGTGCTCTGGAGAGAACCATCTCCAACTTTCCCCCTCCAGTGCCACCAGTCCCATGTGGACCTCTGCGTGGTTCCTGCAGAATGCCTTCTCCCTCAGCTCTGCCTCCCCAAATTCCGCTCCTCTTCTCAGGCCAGATTAGACCATGAAAATGCTCTCCTGGCTCATCCTTACTCCTGGGCACGTACAGAGCTTAATTATATTCAGTCTCACTCAATCATCGCTCATACGTGTGTGTCATGTCTTTCCAACTCTTTGTGAGTAGAAGTGCATATGTTAGAAAGAGTAGAGTTTTCAGAATCAGATGTTTACTCCACCTCATAATATCAAAGTGGCTCTGGATGAGTTATTAACCTTCCCTATCACAGGGAGTAAAAGAAGATAATGTGTGTGAAGACTCTGCTTCAAAGCCCAAGTACGTACAGTTGAATTGTTCCCTACGCTCCCTTCACCCATATTCATTCATCTATGTGCCCTCAGGGGTGGGGGAAGGAGAAAGAAATCAAGTCCAGCTGTGTGGGCAATTCCACTGCATGCATTTGAGCTGGGGGCCAGCCGTGTCCTCGGCAGGCCTCGGAACCACTGGCCTCTTACAGGAGGAGTGTTCCAGGATGGTGGTTCTATGGTCAAACATTCGTGTGTTTTTCATGCAACATGGTCTACAGACACAGGCCAGCTATCTCATCTGGAGCTCTACTGAAAAAGCAGTGATCTGAGAGATGGAAGAATGAGTTTCCAATGCGGTGACTTTAAAGAAGTTTCAAGAATCAATCAAGTCGACTGCACTCAAATGTGGCCTTATCCAGACTTTTGAACCTTACCCCTGCATATGAGGCTTCTCCAATATAGCTGAATCCAGTAAATGTTCATCCTGTTCTCTCCCTTATGGGCACAGACTTACTCTCTGCCTCTAATCTGGTTCTGGTGTAAAGCAGCTGCTCTGTCAGTGAGTACTGACTGATTCACAAGGGAGACAATGAATATTTTTAATAATACCCATTCCCAAATGAGAGTCTCAGATGTCCTCACCAGTGTGGGTAGTCTCAAGTAAGCCATTATAAAAGCTTCAATTAAATGTTAGCTTTCCTATTACAAGTTTAGTTAGCTCTCAGTCAGTAGAATCAAGTTTCCTTTAGGAGAAAAATGTATTCACCTCCAGTTCACTCCCCATCTTCTTTCTAATTTCCTTCATGTCATTGTGGTACTGTTGGCGTATTTCCTCTAACTGCTTCCAATATTCCTGGAAGACAATCCCAATCCAAAAATTTTAAATACTGGTGAACAACTGAGCTGAGTAATCTCTACACAGCCTAAGAATTTAAAGGCTGTATGATCAACAGTAAGAATTAGAAAACCCAGTGTCCCTAAAGATGATAACCTGCCTTACATTTCAGCTGCAGTCCTTCCCTCCCTAGGAGTGACAGGGGGCTTTCGGTGATCTCACTTTTATATAAAACCCAAAATGGGTCCATGACATACAATTCCTTTATATATTCCACTTTCACAGGTTGAACTTGGTCCCCCCCGCTTAAAAAAGATACGCTGGAATCCTAACCCCCAGTACCTCGGAACATGACCTTATTTGAGGACACTGTCATTGCAAATGCAGCTAGTTGAGCTAAGATGTGGTCACACTGGAGTCAAATGGGGCCCTAATCCAACACCACGGGTGTCCCTGGAGGAAGACAGCCACGGGATGACAGCAAGCGGAGTGACAGCAAGCAGAGTCACGCAGCCGCAAGCCAAGGATTGTCAAAGATTGGCAAGAAGCAAATGATTCCCCTCTGGGTTTCAAAGGGAACAGGGCTCTGCTGACGCCTTCATTTTGGACTTCTGGCCCCAGAACTGGGAGACAATATATTTCTGTGTTTTTTTTTCTGTGGTGTCTTAAACCACCTGGTTTGTTAAATTTTCTTAAGGCGACCCTCGGACATGAATACAAATTTCAAAAACGGTGGTGGTGGACAGTTATTTTATCAACCCGAGGTCAAAAGCTTTATGACCCTCGCTCTGCTGTGTTCTCTGAGGAAGTAAACTCCACATCTCTGTATCCCCAGAAACTCCCAGGAAGGAGCTTCCCACGAGTGTGTCCGAGGACTATGCAAGAGGGCCCTCCCTCAGGCGTAGCGCTACGAGTTATATCCCACGCAGCGCGAGAGACAACGGTGCAGGGTCCCTGGCAGACCTGGAATCAGACTGTTTCTAACCTGTTCCTTCACTTCGTTTCTCCTGATCTGCAGCTCTTGGAATCGAGGCTCTTCTCCATCATTTCTTCGCTTTTGTCTCCGGTGGTGATTCGGCTCAGGAGAAGATGGACGGAGACCCTGTCAATGGAACAAAATGATTTATAAAGCATACTGGCCTTTTAGAAATGTCTTCTCGTTTCACCTTGGATCCTTTCCTTTAAATAAGAATTGTATCGTGAATCAGATTCACTGTTGGGGATCGGGCAGTAGAATTTTCTTAACTTCAGTATAACATGTTTAAAAAGCAAAGAACACTAGTAAAACCCTTTGTGTTGTTTATCATGTTTACCACGTGAGACACCTCTATTCATTTTCTGAACTACTGAACTATAATTTGTGAAATCAAAGTTCTATGAAAGTTGAGCTGCCCTAGGGCATCAGGTTAAGCAGGGGAATAGAACTAGAGTTTTTGAGCAGTCCAAAACCAGAGTAAGAGAAATAGGATGCACATCCGGCCTCCTTCAGCCCCAGAACTCTGACACTACACTTAAAGGGTAAATTTCACTTCAGATAAAATACAATAGTCACCTTTAAGAAATGTATGAAATTCTACTAAAATAGAATCAAGGAATTTTAACACCGAAGGGGACCCTCAGAAGCTCATCTACTTCCAAACCGTCATTTATAAAAAGCAAACTGAGGCTCAGAGAGGTCGTATGACCTGCCCAATGTCACACAGCAAGTGATAGAGCCCGGGAAGAAACCAAGCTTTCAACACCCTGATTCAAGCACGTTTCCATTACTCCTCTTTAGCTATTAAGAACTGGAGAAGGTGGAGGGTGGTCTTGACCCTCTATGTGGAATGCACTTTGACTTAAGGAAGGACCCATGAGTATCTGTGAGCAGGAAATTCCTGATTACCCCTCGGAACTGGAATTTTACTTACCAACTGCTTTTCTACTTTCAGCTTATACTGTTGGGCTTCACATTTCCTCTGAAGGTATTCCGCAGGCCTTAGAAAATAAAAATGTTCAGCTGGAGTAGGAATTTTTACTAGTCATAGGCACTAATTTGAGAAGTGGATTTTATTTATTTGTGAGATTTATTAATGAGATTCACAGTTCACTGGTGGCTTGAAAGTTCTGAATTCAAGAAGTAGTTCACAGTTACAGAATGTGTACTTGGGAATCAGAAAGAAAGGAAGCAAAGAGAACTGTACCAATTGCAGATACAGGAGAGGATCAAACAGAAAAATATTCTGATGCGGTGATTTTTCCTTCAGGACAGGAACAGTCCATCCTGTAGACAGGATGGTCTACAATGTGTTGGAGGGAAAAAGAAAAACCTATGCCAGGTTCTTCCCACACTTTGGGCAGGTATCTGATCAATGGCCTCACCACCCCAGTTGCTTGTCCATTTTATAAACTGTGCTCTGAGCTCCTTGAGAGCAAGATGGTACCCATTCCTTTACCTCTGGTCCTCACACTGGTACACAAATGCAAGATCCTAAGATGATAGATACTGAATGAAAGATATTTCACTTTTCAATGTCTTAAATAACTTGATTGCAATTCAATTATTATGGATTAATATTAACAATTTCTTTGGAAAATGATATATATACCACTATTTTCTTCCTCCCAGATGGTGGAACTTACTAGAAGGAAGAAAAATATTAATAATTTCTTTGGAAAATGATATATATGCCACTCTTTTCTTCCTCCCAGATGGTGGAACTTACTAGAAGGAAGAAAAAAAAAACAGGAAAAATTCAGGAGTATGAATTTCTGCTCACGGTTCAATGGCTCCATGAATAAGAAGATAAGCTACATCAGATTTGAGATGACACAGTGTCAAGGGAACTGTGAATTGGTATTCAAGATGAAGAGTTGGAAGTTCTTCTTGGATTATTTGTTTTAGGAGAATTGGGAGGGCTTTGGAATAAATGTTGATATATCAAAATATTTTCAGAGGACCAAAGTTCAAGTTAGACTCTAACATTACCATTGACCTGGTGACGGACTATGGCTTTCTTCCTGATTATAATTCTCCTCAACTCCAGAATCTTTTTGAGGAACACAGTGGTAAATTGGTTCGTGCACTCTCTTCCTCAACACATCAAGTTGGGCATAATAATAGTCATAATGTCCACGCATTGCAGCAAATTTGGGCCTTTCTACCATTTTTATCTGAAGGATCAAAAAGAAGAGGAGAGATTTTGAAGACACAAAATTAAAATCCATGATAACTGACAGTGTGATAGTGACCACAGCTAAAACAAGGCACTGTAAGTGTGTTTTTGTCATTTTTGCTCTAGACTCATTTTTCAAAGTAAATAATCTTAGAATCCCCAAATCCTAGAACTGGGAAATATTTTAGAAATGCAAGTCCTACTGTAGCATAGTAGTTTACAATTTTACTACGGTGTGAAGAGGAATCCTGCATACTTCATGGTTGGTCTACCAAAAATGCTTAGCTAGGAAGTGTGCATACTCAACCCAAGCTCTGAAACTAAACTCAGTATTATTATTGTCTATTTTTGTAAACTTCTTTACATCTTGCTGTACTTTATGGGAGAATAAATGTTATTGCACAAGTCACAAATTTGGGATTCGTAACATTTTTAGGTGCTGATGAACTAAATACGAGATGTCATCATGACTTGAAGGAAAGACGATGCTGATTCATTCAGTCATTCTTCCCAAGTAAACACAAGGAAAGTCATCTAACAGCTGTGATGGCGTATTAGCTATGGCCCCAAGCTACACCTCATCGCCCTTCCCAACCAGAACAGAATGACAGGAGGAGAATCAGAAACAAATGATTGTCTCAGAGTTAAGTGAGGCCACTGAGTTATGAGATAAGAACCAGACCAGCTTAACAGATGAAAACCAGCCAAGACCCTGTTGCTAACTAGCAAACTAGGGCCAATTCAACAACAGCCAGAACAACTGCCTACATAACAAAAGAGAAAAAGAAGTTCAAACCACTGGAAAGAACTGGTAGCTGGAAATATAAATAACCAAACGGTTTAACCTGAGGTTTCCTCACTGTGAAGAAGTAACACACTATGTTCTCTGTTCTTTTTAATGCTGTGTGGTTCCTACATATGTTAGAGGAACCCTATGGAATTGTAGATATTGGATCATTTTTAACTTAAAAAAATGTCACCTTCATGGCACCTGGGTGGCTCCGTCGGTTAAACATTTGACTCAGATTGGTTTAAGTTCAGGTCATGATCGCAGGGTTCTGAGATCAAGAACATCAAGTTCTGAGATCTGATCCCTGTGCTTAATAGGGAGTCCACTCTCTCCTCCCTTCTCCCCGCCCTCTGCTTGTGCTCCCTCTCTAAATAAATAAATAAATAAAATCTTTTTTTTTTAAATGGGCAACTTCATATAGTTTTCTTTAAACATTAAAGTAAATGTATAAAATTTGATCTCTTAGTCTAGACAAAAATTATATATTTATTTTTAAAAATATTTTAAAGTGTGATGTATGTTAATAAGTTTCGCAATTTTACCTATATACAACCCAAACAAGGTACTATTTGTTGAAAAATGGCTAGAAATAGAGAAAAGTATTGGAAGGAAATTATCAGCTTCTTTAGGATTTTCCTTAAAATCCCAAGTGGTAATGAGAACATCAGACTTGTTCTTGTAACTTAATTCATCCTGGAATCTTTTAGGTGTTCTTTTCTCTCCTACCAGTCTGCTACAGACTATTCTAAATCACAACATACTTTTAAGTTTTTTTAAGTTTATTTATTTATTTATTTTTATAGTAATCTTTAGACCCAACCTGGGGCTCGAACTCACAACCCCGAGATCAAGACTCCCATGCTCTTCCAATTGAGCCAGCCAGGTTCCCTGACTTTCACATTTCTTTAATGTAAGTGAAACCACAGTCTATCAAACAAAGAGCAATAATTTAACTCATAGTTTCAAAATCTGTCTATACACCTCCACATTTTCTAAAATGTCTATGTAGGAAGTAAACACTTAGTTAACATACCTCCAAATAGCCCTCTAATGATACATTCATAACCTTCTTTAAAAATACAATTCAATGAAGAGACAATAGCCATTTTATCACTTATATACCAGAAGCATTCCACTAGCATGAACTAAGAGGTTCTATGCTCTGTCGACATGGATTCAGATAACTAAGCCTAGAGAATCTCTAGGAAAAAAATCACCCTGACTATATACTAAAAATTTCTCAATTATATATAACACTTTAGAATTAAGGGAATGAAATGCAGCCCGTTTTCTGCTGCAATGTGACTCACTTACTCTATTTAGAAAAACCTTATTTCTTTAAAGAAATCAAAAGGTTTTGAGTTGTAGGAAAACTTAAACTAGAACATAGGATACTTCCAAGGAAATACAACTAGGAGTTGTCCAATGGAGTACCCCTCTAATGCTCAGTGCACAGTGATTTTGCTCATAAGGACAAAACGAGTGTTCTCCAAAGCAATGGACTTGTATCCTAGGAACATGTGCATGTAGGTCTGTAGGACATGACACCTGCTAACAAACCAGAGGAAGGGGTTAGTACAACTTACAGATACAGGCTTCTGAGATCCAGCTGGGGGTCTCTTTTCATTTCTATACAATATCTCCTTCCTTTTAAATGGCTCTGATAGCCTTGATCTTGGTAGACACTTTCCCTGGAATCTTGCTTTCTGTATCATAGAATCTTATTGAACCAAAAAAAAAACCAAAACAAAACAAAAAAAAAACTTCAGTTTCTTTAAAATGGCAACATCTTAACATCAGTGCTCATGAGAGTGTGAATATAAGGACCTTTCGTGACCCAGGAAGGTAGCTTTAGCCTGAGATGTTTAGACCCAATGAGAGAAGTCCGTATGGAAAACTAGTCTGCATTGTCTTTTAATGGAAAAAACCATTTTATCCAGGGTTCCCTCACATATTTCTAGTATATTTAACAGTGCTTTTAAAAAATTAGGGGTTAACACTAACATTTACAGAAAAAAGATCCATTGGATAATGGCATAAGTAATTACATGTAGTCATCATCGCCTGGGCTACAGGCCACGTCGCTCACACCACACTCTTGTGGGAAATGTGTGAGCAGGATTTTTTTTTTTTTTTGAGAGGGAGAGAGAGAGAATCTTAAGTAGACTCCCTGCTGAGTGCCAAGCCCCACCCAGGCCTTGATCTCAGGACTCTGAGATCATGACCTGAGCCAAAATCAAGAGCTGGATGCTTCACTGACTGTGCCACCTAGGCGCCCCCATGAAATACATCTCTGTGTTTGCCACCATCAGGCTTTGTTCCTGTTTTCCTTTCCTTCCTCTGTTAAAAATGTGGACAGTGTGCCTTCTCTCACCCTCTCTTACCTACTTTGAAACATTCTCAATCTAAACCCATGTATAACAACAGCAAACCAAATCACACATGGCAGGGGGACTCAGTCGCTCTTCTTCCCTTGACGACTTACCTCAATCCTAGTGTCTCTATGACAGTAGATAGATTTCCCTGTCACTGCCTTCCTGGAGAGATGTTTTACTCCTCCTCATCCTTTCAGTTCAGACATTGGGTTATGACTAAGTCCACGCTGCACTTATTTCACAATATCAGTGGAATTAGTAATTTTGTCTTCTTTACTGTGTCTCTCACATGCACACACATGCATGGGGCATGTCATCAGCTAATCCTGAACCTGCCACTAAAACTGCTTCTCTATTGATCATTAAAGTATCCCCTGCTTCGCTCAGGGGCCCTAAAATAGTGATCACAGTCACCGATTAGGTCTGAGATACTAACTGCAGCTCCATGAGGCCTTTGCAGGAGAACTCTGAACCACCAGTCCCTCCTCCCTGTAAAAAATTAGCTTCATCTCATCATCCTGGGTCTGTCTGTGAACCTTCTCCAACTCTCTGTCTCTTCCCTACACAAAAGTTAAGTTAGGATTCTACTTTGTCAAGTATCTTCATTAGTAAATCCACTGCTTCCTAAAGTTTCCTGACTAATGGAAGAGAGGACAGGAGTCATTCAGAGCAGGTGTGAACTAGATATACAGGCACACACACTAGTCACCATTCGAAAGGATGATTTTTCATATATATATACATATGTATATATGTATATATATATATGAAATACTCTCTCAGCTAGACTTATTGAAATACTATATATACTTATTGAATACTATTCAGTATTACTGAATAGTATTCAATATACTTACTGAATATATATATACTTAGTGAATACTACATATACTTATTTAAATATGAAAAATATATAGGAAAAATAGATATATGAAAAAAACTGTCATATATATATATAAGAAAAATGTGTGTGTGTGTGTGTGTGTGTGTGTGTATACATATATATAATTTTTCTTTTTTAAAGCAGGCTCTACACCCAGTGTGGAGCCCAAGGCTGGGCTTGAACTCATGACTGGGATCAAGACCTGAGCTGAGATCAAAAGTTGGATGCTTAACCGACTGAGCCACCCAGGCACCCCAACATTGCACATATATTTTAAACGTCCATGTTCAGTGTATTTAGTGGAATTTCCCTGCTAATGTTGTCAGCCATATATTAAAACTCACCGTGTATGACACACGTAAGAAATGATCTTTGATCACGTGGTCAAATCGTTCTTACCTTGGACCCCCTTCCCTGCAGGTTGAGAAGCCAACCGTCTTGCTTTATGTGTGAGGCTGTGACTAAAGTCCTCCCGAATGACCTAAGATGGAACACATGTGTCAAGGACCTGCTAACCAAAATTTCTGCCAAAATCCACACGGAATCATCTCCAAGCTCACCTCGGGAGTCAAGTATTTGGCAATAAGGTTCTCTAAAAAGGGCCTTTTCAAAATGGAATTAATAGACGGCCGATCTCGGGGAGATACTTCAAAGAGTTGAGATATCAAGGCTTGCAGGTCACGGGAGAACACTGTGGGTATCGGGGCAAAATGCGCTTGACAAATCTTCAGAACCAACTGGTGTAAGTTGTGACCCTCAAACTGAAAGGACAAGGAATGGTGATACTAAATCAGAGAAAATGTTGAATACTAGTTTGTAAAGTAATTTCAAGGAACAAAACAATGTTTCCAGCCAGTGCTCAACAGAAGGGCCCCCACGCAGGCAGGCCTGTGGCAGAAACATACCCCTGCACTGGGGGTGGGGGTCTGTGCCTGTCACCCTCAGATTCCTGCACCCAGGACTGGGGTGGGGGGCTCGTACTGACCACCCTTCCCTGATCCAGCTGAGGGACCCTGGGGAAGCAATCCTTTTGCTTTTGCTCAAGCTGGACTTTATAAATTAAAAAAGTGGACATTGAATCTTAAAGCGAAACCGAAACACAACGTTATAAGGCTTCAGTTAGAAGTACTATGGTCCACCCTAAATGGTTTTCATCAACTAATATTTGATGAGTAGATATTATAGGCAGTTACACAATGTGATGCCATGTTATATAAAACAAGCTTTTCTTAGTTTTAATTTTTTCTTATCAAAATAATATTTATTCATTATGAAAAACTGGAAGCAAGAGGAAGCTACAAACAGGGCAAATATGTATAATTTTGTCAGCCAAGGGTATATTTCCTTCTAGTCTTTTAAAACAATGTTTACTGGGGTGCCTGGTTGGCTCAGTGCAGAGAGCATGTGACGCTTGATCTCAGGGTTGTGAGTTCAAACCCCACATTGGGCATAGAACTTACATTTTGATAAAAGTAAAATAATGTTTACTTTACAGAGTTGAAGTCATAACAATATGAAAGTTTACACCTTGCTTTCTAAATTAACAAAGCAAAAACATTTCCTCAAAAATTCTTCATTAACCAGGGATGCCTGGGTGGCTCAGTGGGTTAAAGCCTCTGCCTTCAGCTCCGGTCATGATCCCAGGGTCCTGGAATCGAGCCTCACATCGGGCTCTCTGCTCATCAGGGAGCCTGCTTCCCCCTCTCTCTGCCTGCTGCTCTGCCTGCTTATGATCTCTGTCTGTCAAATAAATAAATAAAATCTTTAAAAAAACGTTAAACTACTTTCTGATCTTTCTTTAAAAAAAAAAAAAATTCGTTAACCAGAGAATCTTCCATTGTATGAGGCCACGGGTTTACACATAAGCATAACGTTCGATGACACAGTAAAGATCAGGTTTAATCAGGCTATTACTAGCTGTCTGACCTTTGACAATAATAATAGTAGTAATAATAAATAACAATAATAACAGCTGTGTAGAAAAGTGTTCACACAGCAGGTTTAAGGCTGCTTTCCTTAGAAAGGTCTCCTTGGGGTGCCTGGGTGACTCAGTGGGTTAAGCCTCTGCCTTCGGCTCAGGTCATGATCTTGGGGTCCTGGGATTGAGCCCCGCATTGGCTCTCTGCTCAGTGGGGAGCCTGCTTCCCCCTCTCTCTCTGCCTGTCTCTCTGCCTACTTGTGATCTCTCTCTCTGTGTGTTAAAAGAATAAAAAAAAATCTTAAAAAAAAAAAAAAAGAAAAGGAAGAAGAAGAAGAAGAAAAAAAAGACAGGCCTCCTTACCACATTGGCCCTTGGCTGGCTTCTGGGAACTCACATTTCTGGAGAGTTCCCACGGCTCTCTCAGTGTTCAGAGTGGCTCTCTTTGCCTACACTGATGGTGCAAACAATATGGTTGATGCTAAACACCCACTTCTTCCTGGGAGTCTGGAAGCGTGGTACCTGCCAGGCATAGGGCTCCTGCATGACCAGTTCCACATCAAAACCCTGAGCACTGGGTCTCTAAGGAGCTTCCCTGGGTGCGAACCTTTCACAGGTGCTGTCACTACTTGTTGCTGGAGAAAGTAGCATGACTCCTGTGTGACTCCATTGGGAGAGGGTCTTAGAAGCTTGTGTCTGGTTTCCTACAGACTTCACCCCACGCACCTTTTCCCTTTGCTGATTATATATTCACGCACAGTTGATTTTTAAGGAAAATATGCTGTGTAGCTTGGGTTTTTTACTGTACAAGTTGCACATTTTTCCATGTCTGTATATATGGATTGATCACTCATCTTAATAGCTTGTCCATGTGATTTTTTTTTTGAAGATTTTATTTATTTATTTGACAGATAGAGATCACAAGTAGGCAGAGAGGCAGGCAGAAAGAGAGAGGAGGAGGCAGGCTCCCTGCTGGGCAGAGAGCCCGATGTGGGGCTCGATCCCAGGACACCGGGACCATGACCCGAGCCGAAGGCAGAGGCTCCAATCCACCGAGCCACGCAGGCGCCCCTGTCCATGTGATTTTTAACAACCTAATAACTCCAAACATTAACCTTTTTCCTCTCAAAAGATAATTTCACTTTTATAGTTTTAATAATTCAAGATTACTCTGATGATTAACATACTTACAGGATGCTTGAGTGCACAAAGCTCATATAAGACACAGCCAAGAGACCAAATATCCCTGGGGAAGATAAGAGATCACATGCCAAGAAATATCCATAATTCTCAATTAAAGTCTTTATCCTTACAGTGACTGATATTTGTGTATCCTTACAATTTTACAGGTTTTATCCTTACTTTTTCAATTCTTTGTCCTACTAAGGTAAGAGGTCACATCGAAACAAGGCACAGTTTGTGAGAATCCTAGCAGAGAAAAGATATACTAACTTTGCTACAATCTGAGGGCTCAGTGTTTACCTCAGCTTCATGTGCTCGGAGGAAATGTGTGTATGTAAGGAATTCTGAACAATTTGGAGGAAGCTGGCAAGACTCAAACATGGATTTGTTTTGATTCAAAGGGTAAAATTTGATTGATTTAGGAAGGTATATTCTTCTTAAAGCCACTGACAGAACCAAAGCTCTATTAAGAGACAACATAGTGACAAACCATAAGAGACTCTTAATCTCACAAAACAAACTGACGGTTGGGGGGTGGGGTGGGCGATAGGGAGGGAGGATAGGGAGAGGGTGGTGGGGTTATGGACATTGGGGACAGAATGTGCTATGGTGAGTGCTGTGAAGTGTGTAAACCTCGCGATTCACAGACCTGTATCCCTGGGGCTAATAATACATTATAAGTTTATTTAAAAAAAAAAAGAGAGAGACAACATAGTATCTGGCACTCAATAAATTGAAAATTGTGCTTGTAACATATGACCAGAGGCTTGCTCTTCAGTACTTAGTGCTTTTATGTGATTGGTGTAATAAGGAGTTATCTTATAAAAAAGGCATCATTAAATCTAAAAAACCAAAGAAAATACAGTGAGAAATGAAACAATGAAAACAAGGATTCTGTAAAGTGAGGAAAACGGCCCCACTGTTTAGCCACACTTCCTCTGAGTGTGGGCAGGAGCAGAGGGAGACATCCTGAAGGCTTGAGGAAATGAAGAGCGATTACAGAATAGGTAGGAAACAATTTCCAACTGCTTTCTAGTGTTTTCCTAAGAGTTTCTAGAAACTCACAGACCACTTCCCACGACCACACAGAATTTTACAATCACCGGGTCTTCCCTAGGCCCACACCCTCCCCTGTCCCAGATCGCCCTCTATACCAGCCAGTGTGGTCCAGTGGGGAATACAGCCACTCCGGCACTGGGTGGAAACTTCTACAAGTCTCCTATGCCCTACGTGTGGTGGGGGCTACGGTGAGCCAGGGACTGGTTTCCTGATCCACGGGGGCAGCAGCTACCCAGCTGATTATTGCTAAGGTCTTCCAATTAACAAAAGCACCAAGTCAGCATATTTAAATGTTGACTCAAGTATTGTAAAAAGCAGTACAAAACAATGCAAATGATCCAGGGTGCTTCTCTGGACAGTCCCCCTTTCCACCCAGGCTATACTAGCTGCATTCCTGCCCAACTGGAGGCCAAACCCCTTCTTGGTATTATTCTAGGCTATTCCAGGGGGGAAAAAAAAAAAAAAGAAAAGAAAAAGAAAAAAAAAAAAGCTTGTTTTTCTATTATGCAGAGAAATATTTACTACTCTTTTTAGAACTCTCTACCTTCTGGGCTCTGCCCTCCACTTATCTCTTGCAAAGTCAAACAGCCAAACATCCCTTGAGTACTTTCCAAAACAAATGCAAAATTAACCCCTAGAAGGAATTCAGTCTTCCTGCTAAACCAACTAGCTCAACAGGCAGCTTTGAAAAGTGATTTTTTTCTGCATCTCTTATATGGAAATAAAAACTACCTCATGTTCACCTTTTACTATTGTGTATATTAATATTATTCCGGAATGGTAGGCTCTGGTATCTCATACACAAAACTAGTTGGGTTTTAAAGCTGGAAATACCTTAACAATTGCCTAACTAACAGCTAGGGGAACTGAGACCTACAGAGGTCAATCGACGGGGTCAAAATGGTGACAGGGCCAAGGCTCCTAGCTCCTAATCCAGTACTCTGATTGCTTTCTCCTTGACCCCTCCACAACACTTTCCTGTGTTAGGCTAAACAGTGTTTGGAAGGTATGAAAAATCAAACAGATGCACATCACAGAGACTGCAATTTTCAATGTTAGTCTTTTTATCACTTGTGTCTTCAGATGAAATGTATTTCTTCTAAATATGTTCAAAAGCTTCAGGGGACACTGAGGTGGTTGGAGACAGTCACCGCGATCCCCATTTCACATGTGAAGGAAATGAAATTATGAAAGTACCATGAGAAAGAATCCGCCCGCTTTACTGAGACTTTCAAACCAATCGTCGGCAACTCACGTTTTATTGTTGTAGGGTTTATTCTGACAGATCTCTGGGGATAGGTAGTATGGCGTTCCAACACAAGTTCTAGCAAGTTCCATGGAACTAGTAAGTTATGTTAGATAATAAAATAACATGGTTTGTTATTGGAGTAAGAAAAGGCTTAAGACACAGACATGCGAGAAGAAAGTATAAAAATGGGTAACACAAAATTTGATGAATATACATATTAAAATAAAGCCAACATATTGCATATTAATAACAGAGTAGTAAAATAAATTGATTTTTAAACTTATACTTCACCAGCCCAAAATCTACACATAAAAATATATTTATGGTTAAAGGCTTCACAAAGAAATAGATTGTTACATTACAAAACTCTTAGATGTGGAAAGAGTTCCCCCTTTCCAGTTACCAAAGTAATGCAGACATGACTTAAAATTTGGAAAATATGGGAGTGAATAAAGAAGAAGAAAATTACCTAGAATCTTACTATCCCAAAATAGTTATTATTAAAATTTGGATATATTTCCTTCTTGTTTTTTTTCCATGCATATTTTTCATATAGGTGTGATCACAGAGTATTTAAAATTCAGAATTCCATTTTTGTCTTAATATAACAAAGTTTGTTCTCACATTATCAAGAAGTCTTCAAAATCATAAATGTGAGTGGCCATATAACATTCAGGTACATGCTTGTGCCAAGCTTTATAAAATTTACCCATTTCCCAATTATTAGGCATTTAAATTAGTCCAAATATCAAACTATTCCTTTAGAACAAAGAGAACATTTAAAAAATTCTTGATGTTTATCACCACCAAAGTGTCTTCCAAAATAGTTGCATCAACATATGGCCCAGAGCATGTGCAAATTGTCCTGTTGCACTCAATTCTCACCAGCTTTATGCATATGCAGTCACAACTCATTTGATAAACTTATATCATACTATAAAACATTGCCACTATCTTTCTATTATACCAAGATTAATCTTGGAAATTTTTTTTTTTTTTAAGATTTTATTTATTTATTTGACAGACAGAGATCACAAGCAGGCAGAGAGAGGAGAGGAAGCAGGCTCCCTGCTGAGCAGAGAGCCCGATGCGGGGCTCGATCCCAGGACCCCGAGATCATGACCTGAGCCGAAGGCAGCGGCTCAACCCACTGAGCCACCCAGGCGCCCCAATCTTGGAAATTTTAATCGTAAGCAAAACATCATATGAATGAATGATTTAGTGAATTTATATAAATAGCTCTCTAAAATTATCTGGAAACCAAACTTTAAATATCTTAATTCATGATACCTAAAAATACATATTTTGGCTGTTATAAATAGAAAATGATTTTTAAAAATACTTACTTGTTCAGAACTCTTGCTATACCAAAGTCACCAAGCTTTGCAACCATTCCACTCTTGCTAAGAAAAATGTTCTATAAATGGAGAAAATGCTACGTTGTTGGAGATATTTCAAGAAAACGAAAGATCAGTTCTGTCTTGATCTCTCCAAGCTGTTACCTGAGCTTTTATGTCTCTATGTAAGATCTTCCTGTCATGAATATATTTTAGTCCTAGAGAAATCTGTACAAACCAACTCAGAATCTGTAGAGGGAACATAAAACAAAGCCAATCAGTAGTCTGGTGGACACTGAAATGTCTTCATGAAAATATGCAAAAAGAGAGAAATAACATATTTATGTGTATGTATTTATGTGAATGAAACTATATTAGATATATCATCTAATCACACAATTCTCTTTTATAGAAAAAAAATGAAGGTGCACAAAGGCAATCTAAATGTGCAAGTAACAAAGGGAACTCCACATACAGAAAAGAGATGTAGAAGCACAGGAAAGAGGGAGTCAGTTGTGCTTTTTTTTTCTCTTAACACTGGTTTGCTGACTCCATCAGGATAGCAGATAAGCAGCATTTCCTGATAACCCTGGTGCCATTGGTGTTTCCTATTCCATGGAAAGGGGTTGCCAAGGCAGAGCGGGAAAGAGTAAGCAGAGAATCTGTGACTTTATTAAAATTTTCAATGAACTATCAATATATGTGTATATAATATAAAAACAAGTATTTTACTTTTGAAATTTTCGGAACTTAATTTCATTTCTTAGTCATGATTTTATTTTATCTTAACTGGCCATGAGCCTCTTTTTAAAAATGTGTTCTATGCTTATAAAGACTTCTTTAAACTTCCAAAATGTCATTGGTTCCTTGTCCACCAGATTCCACAAAAAAAAGGACAACAAAAGCAAAAAATAGCCATACTCCAGATGCTAAGATTCAGTTGTAATTTTAGCTCTTTTCCAACAAAGGGAAATGTAATTCAAAATTTTGTGGTGAAGAGCATTTTTATTAAATGTGGCAAAATAGGGGTGCCTGGGTGGCTCAGTGGGTTAAAGCCTCTGCCTCCGGCTCACGTCATGATCCCAGGGTCCTGGGATGGAGCCCCGCATTGGGCTCTCTGCTCAGCAGGGCCTGCTTCCTCCTCTCTCTGCCTGCCTCTCTGCCTACTTGTGATCTCTCCCTCTCTGTGTGTGTCAAATAAATAAAAAAAAAATCTTTAAAAAAAAAAAAAAGAAAAGAAAAGAAAAGCAGACTTTAAAAAAAATGTGGCAAAATAATCCCTAGAGGGGAAGAAAGGAGGGTTTCTACAAATACTGAATTTAATATATAATGTGAAGGAGCATAGGAAGGATGGTTGATTAAATTTACAAAGTTTTAGGGATAAATGTGTACATTCAAACTATTCCATTTTAGCTCTAGGAGGAAATGATAGAGGCATGAGGTCTTTCAATAGTAAAATAGGACACAGAAACAAACTGCCAAAAGATGGCGGCGGGCCATTCCTGAGTGCTGCTCCAGGCAGCGGTCTGCCCCACCTGTCACACAGGCCCCATTCAGATTCCCTTCCACACACACACATTCCTGCTGTGTCCTTCAAAGGCACAGCTCCCAAGAGGGTTCCAAAGGACGCTCAGAGGGTGGAAGAAAAATGTGTTTGTGTGAAGAGAGAATGGGAATCGAGGCCATTATTCTTGGCCTTTCTCTCCTCTCTCTTCATAATCAATGAAACTAAATAGCCATTGCCACGAAGGGCCTCTATGCTCCCTAGCAAAGTGGGATAGCTATTTTATAACAACGTACTAAATGGTAAAAGGAAGAAGAGTGAAGCTATAAATATGTCACATTTAAAATGGCTGAGGAATATCCACATTCACAATTTTTTAGCCATGAAGATTGATCTCAAGGGCATCCTACTTGAGATTGCCCCAAAATACAACACTATCTTCTTTGCAAGGTTCACTCTCAAAAAGAGATTCAATTTCAATTCAATTGCAGATCTGTTCTGGACTAAATCTATCAACAATATTGATCCCCTACTGTACGTTTGAATTTCTCTGCCAGAAATCATGCTGTATATATACACGGCCTCGTACTTGTGGCATTTTGAATTTAATTCCCCCCAGTACAAATTAAAAGGCAAACTGGAGGCATTTTTACCTGATCTTCACTAAATAACACTCCCCGTTGTCTACGGATCCTTCTCATGAGATCCCCTCCATCACAGTACTCCATCACAATGAACAACCTGTTGTTCTCTGTAAGAAAAGGCATCATTACCTTTCGTGCTCTCAAAAGTGGAGAATATACAGAAAAATGCATTATACGACAGTTAAAAACACTGGCTGCAGAATCATGGACTGGATTCCCGGCGCACGTTGCCACTTAACATTCTTAGCTCTCTGACTCTGGGCAAGTTATTTAAATTTCTCTGTGCCTCATTATCTCATCTGTAAGGTGGAGATAATAATATGGAAACTCCTCTAAGGATTGTCGCAAAGGTTAAACGAGTTAATCCGTGTCAGAGACTCACAACAATGCCTGCATATAATGAGAGTTCCATAAATGTTAACAATTATGAACACATTCCTCCCGGAGATGAGAAATCTTCTGTTACACGGCAGCCATGAATCTTAACCCAAACCCCAGGAAGCATTAATAGACCTTTGAACTTGGGTGTAACCTTTTATTTATATGGCACTTACTCAACTATGTTGTTGAGCACAATGCACACTCTTCTAAACTAACCTCTCCCTGACCTACTTTTTGGAGTCATTACCATTCCTGCTGCCCACTCAAGGGTACCCGTGGAGCCTACTAGACTCTCCCACACGCTCAGGTACCTCTGTTCCCATGAATTGTCACCAAGATCATGGTGTCCATCCCCAAATCTGTTCAGCCAAATACACTTGTTATTGCCATTATTGCACGAACTGATGAAAAATGAATGGGAAAAAGACAGATGTGGTTATTTCTACAAAACCTATGTTGACTACTGTGGAGAACTCAGTAAAAGAAAGTAGTTAAAAAAAAAAGAGTGGGGTGTCTTCGACCTACATGTTGGGTAAGACAAGTGGAAAATAACTGACAAAGCTTTAAAAAGACTGTGCACCCAGACTGTCTATAAATTCTGACTCCACTCTGAGGAAAGGAAATGGGAAGCCAGAAACGAGGAGAGTAGCCTTCCCAAGAAGGAGTCTTCAGAAGTCTAGTCCACGTGTTCAGCATCAAAGATGAGGCCTTGGTCTTCTGTCAAAAGTTCGGCAAATGGTTGTGCATTTATAGATGAAAATAAATATGTGTGTGCAATTTCCTGCTCAACCAGTTCTTCCCCAGAACCAGCCAACTGCCAGCTGGACTCCTGCTGGAAAGGGCTCCTTCTCTGTTGCTCGTTTCTCCCACTCCTCTGTGGGTTCCCTGCAGACAGAGTCCCCACTTTGTTCTTTTGTCTTCCCTGCACCTGGCATGGGAACTGCCACCTGGAAGGGGCTTCAGGAAGGGCGGTTAAGTGGTTTCATAAAACCATCTAAGGAACACAACAAAAAATGGCATAAAATCAGGCTTAAAAACAAGTATTAATCCTCCTCGTGTTTTGCCTCTTGTTGTTGAGTATCCACTAAATTTCAGAATCTCTTGCCAAGAGCTATCATTTGCTCCCTCTCTCTTTCAAGGAGCTTAAACCAGCTCCGGAGGCTGTGAGCACCCTGATGGCATCTGCCCTCTGCTGCAGCTAATTCACAAACTCAGGGCTCCTCTCACAGAACACTTCGACTCCCGCCTCCTTAAAGGGGACAGATCCATTCATTCATCAACAGACCGTTATTGAGGACATGCCAAGGAAGGAGGTGCTGGGAATAAAAAGCAAACAAGCCATCCTTCCTGCATGAGGAGGCGACCGTTTAGTTGGGGAGTCGGTCAGCATAGGTGAGAAGAGCCACCGCAGAGGTCTGTGGCTTAGACGGCAATGAGGATGAGACAGTGAACGACAGACATGGAGAGTCCAGGAAGGTTTTAAGAAGGTGTTTCCGGACATGCCCTAATTATTTAGGGGGTAAATTATCTTTAGGAATGCATGAGTTTTAGGAGAACTGCTATTTCTCATAGCTTAGTCCTTGAGAGGGCCACTTCAGCAATGAAGGAATGGCAGTGTGGCAGTGGGACTGCTGAAATCAGGAAAACTAAGGAGAAAGGGCTCCATTTTACTTCCTTGCCACCAACCTTCAACTCACTCTGCCTTACACTGGCTTTCTGTGACAGAAGTTAAGTGGCTGCTTCAGGATTAATCATGGCGGAGCCATCTTGAAGAAACTATTTGGGTCAATGAGTATCATTTGCCTCTAAATACACATCCTCCCCTGCCCCCCCAACTAGCCACCATTAATTTCGTATGCGATGGGCTTAGAACGTTCTGGAAAGACCATTTATATTCTCAAATTCTCCATCTATTTAAGCAAAGTAAGCACTGTAGGGGAAGGGGGAAGAGGTATAAGAAACAATTATTGTCCTCATGGCCTCGTCTCACAGATGGAAATGAAGATTATACACTAGCATTATAATACAGTATATTATGTGCCATGTGAGTACAAGTTTGGAGGTTCTCAGAGCAGAAGTGAGAGAGGTCCCTTTCCGTTAAGGGACAGATCTGTGTTTGGTCTTAAAGCATGCATAATATTTGAAAATGCAGAAAGGAGGAAAAGGATGCTCTAAAAAAAGAAGTGCAAGACACATTGTAGGGCAGCAACTTCTGGAATTACGAAGCTCACTGGTCATTAACCTTTCTAAACTACCAAGGGGCACTCATAGTAGGGACTAACATTAACCAACCTTTCTACGGTCAAATTCCAACATGCAAAAATTAATTAATTAATATTGTAATTAATTCATTCTTAAGTGCACTTTGTAAAAATCAGGATGGCATCTTACAGATATTGGCATCTTTCAATCGGTTGCTGTGGACCCAGCAGTCTTGATATTACCACTGCTTGAATAATTTTTAGAACCCCTTAACCAATTTAATTCGCCCGTAGTTTCCTTTTTATGTATGTACAAGAAGAATAGAAAGTAAATACGTCTTAAAAAGCTCTTTTAGTACATAGAAAATAAAAATTGGGTTAAGGAAGAACACTGTTTTGTCAAGTTGGCAGTATTGTTCCTCGGAATTAGCATGAAATGGCGCATCTGGCAACTGATGGCCTCTAGATTTGATGAAGTATCACCCACTACCACCATCATTCCATAAAATAAGAGCATTTTAGTGCCCCAAATCAAGGAGGGACACAGAGTCAGCATCAAGAATGAAGGTACTTCTGCTCTTCTCTCTTGCCCATTGCACTGTACTCACAAGGACATCCCACAAGGCTCTGTGTCTCCTCCACTTACAAGCCTCTATTTCATGGATACTAGGACATGTGACTCCTGGGCCAGTGGCCAAGGACTTTATTACTCTTGGCAAAAGCAGGTGTCAGAGCTTCACGTTAGCACTCATCCCACGGAGGTAAAACACATGAGCCTAGACGGACGTGTGCACCTGCCATGGGCAACATGACAGGAGAGGAACCTGAGCTGGAGGAAGCTGCCACTTTCCAGTGAGCAGCAAATAGGCCAGCTCTGCCTGGGAGATGTTTTGCCTTTCAGTGTCCCTCACCACAAACCCAATCTGGAGATACAGCCTGGGGAGACAGCGGTCAGGACTTCGCACTCCTGGCACGTTCTGCAGAGATGTGCAGAGATGCTCAGGGCCCATGGCAGACAGCCCTTCCCAAAGGCCTCCTGGCCAGTGCTTTAACCCACCAGGCCTGCTCTTGCCCTCATGCCATTGCAGTGGCTGGTCCTCTGGCCCAGAAAGTTCTTCAGCAGAGCTGAGCATGGATCTTCCAGTCTTTCCTCAAATGACCACCCTGCTGGAAATTGTTTCCGTACTCCTGCCCCACCCTTTTATGTTGCCTCAGCATTTACTACCTTCTAACATACTCTACAATGTGGTTCTCAGTTATGCCTCCATTTATTGTCTGTCTCTCCCCACCATAGCCCCAGTGCATACACGGTGTGGGCTCCCTCCCTGGGGAGTGCCGGTAGGACCTGTAGATACAATGGGCTATCACTCCCCTGACGATGTCACTACATACAGCAGAGGGGATTTTGCTGATATCGCTGAAGTCAGTTGACTTTGAGTTCATAGAAAAGGAGACTTTACCTGGGGGCCTTGACCTAATCACCAGAGCCATAGAGATCTAGGTCTAGAGGTCAGAGACAGAGGAAGGGAGAGATTACAAGTGGAAGAAGGCCTACTGAAAGGGCCATAGGGCATGGAAGGGTGGTTGGCCTCCAGAAGGCCATAACCACCCCCAGTGAACAGCTAACAAGAAAGCAGACCCCTCATTCTTACAATCCTAGTAGACGAGTTCTGCCAACAATGTAAGTAAGCAGGGCAGGGCACTCTGCACCTCCATGGAGAGAGCAGACCCAGCTGTGGTTCCCTGAGCAGAGAATCCAGCTAAGCCACACCAAGACCTGTGATCTTGGATAAATGGGTGTTGGTTGGAGCCATTGAATTTGTGATGGTTTGTTACACAGCAACAGAAAACAACAGTGCAGGGAGAGCTTCTGCCTCCTGTGTTCACTGATGAAACCCAGGACACACCCAGCATGTAAGAGGACTTGATAAATATTTACTGAAGGAATTTAAGTGGAATCAATTTAGCTTTAGGAAAATCTCACTACATGCCCTGTTTTTCATACATCGCTTCAAACTTATAAAAAGTTCATGCTTTCTACAGACAAACATTTGCTGAACTAGAGCAACGGTTCTTCTGTTTGGAGACAAGCTGTTGAGAGTAAACAAAGCCTTTATCTTGATAAGCTCCAGGTTTCAAGTCCCGAAAACCTGCCAGGCAAATCCAGGGGCATCCCCATAGCTCTGGCTTTCCTAAACACAGGGGCACTCAACTTCAAAAACAAAAAATAAGCTGTTCTAAGAAAGTTTAAGCTTACAATATAAACAGACTCAGTGGAGGTCATTTATGTGGTCCAAATGACCTCTAATTTTATAACAGCACCTGTGTCCATGGTCCTCAAATGTCTATTTGGCATAAAGACATAGTCTACTCTATGAAAGGGGTTCAGACCACGTAGTCACTCAGCCAACTGGGGATTAAGCACCTACTACACGCTGGATGTGGAGGATCAAGTGGTGACAGAAGAATTCTTAATGCGACTATCTGAAAGGAATTTGGACTTGGTCCTGTAAACAGAGGCATGCGCACAAGGGCAGAGGTGTTATGCAATGTCAGTAGAGGGCGCCATGATGAGACCCCCAGTCTCGGAGAAGGCCTGAGCATGAGTAGACATTAGCCAGAGGGAGTCACAGCAACAACCCAAAGAATGAGGAAAAGAAAGATCGTCTTTTGGCTTTGTTAGGAATCCAAGAATAGGAAAGGAGGGCACTTTATTCAGTGGCTGCCCCTTAGAAGTTGTTCAAAACAACTCGACTTCCTGCTCACGTCTACTGCTCCAGTCCCAGGAAGACCACACAAGAGCCCTAAGAACTCTCTTAAATACCCAGCAGTCAAAGAGGGCCATACAGAGAACTGCTCTGAACGCAGTCGTTTTAGTTTGTAAGGAACCAAGTGCTCTACACAGTGTGAAAGCTCAAAAAATAGTGGCTCTGCATATTTATCTCCTGATTTGTACACCCCCGAGGGCGCTTGAAGACATTGAAGACATTCCTGCTCCATTAACTACTTACAACCTGGGAATTCAAGCTCCCAGCCCAGTGCCAGGGGTTGGAAGGGGGATGCCCCGTGGTGAGCTGTGGGCAGACACAGTGCATCACAGCCTAAGATGCACCCGAAGTACAGGAGACGTGTTTATGGCCTGTCTCTTCCCCATAGAAGATAAGCTCTGCCAGGCCAGTAACTTCTGCCTATTTTGCCGACTGTAGACGGAGGCAGAAGAGATGTTGTGTTCGAGCATGTTTTTTCCCTAGAGCATGGCTGTTTGCTGTAAGAGGATCGGGGGCCCACCTATTGCCCCAGCACATGCAAGAACTCTCAGAGGCAGAGTACATCATCCCTGTCACCACATGACCCGGGCTGGCTGCATGGCTGCTTTGCCAATAGGAATGGGAGCTCAGACGGAAGGTGAGGAACAGGCCACATCCTAACAGGGCTCTGAGAGTGATCACGTGGCAGGCTCTGTGTCTTGTCTCATTCTCTCACTCAGCATGCTCCCTGTCTTGGCTGCTCCACCATCTGGACCCCAGACTTCAGACCCCGCCCGCTCACAGCCAAGGTGTAATGTGAGAAATCTATGTGGATTACTGGGAGGCCACAATTTAGGGGTTCTTACTGTAGCAAAACTAATACACCAGCATTAACTATCGAGGCAGCAAGAATTAAGGAGAGGGAAAAATTAAGCGAACTTAGAAGCTTTCTACAAAAACTCACTAGCAAGGAAATAAAGTCAGTGTCTCAAATTATGATTTAAGTAAATGGGAAAATGAGTCCCTTTACAAAAATGAATTTATGCACAGTTCTCAAAAATCTTTTCTAGATGTCTATGTGCCTACATTTTATTATTAAAGCACTTGAAGAATATTAGAAAGCCAAACCTTGAAACGAACTGAAGAAGGTTACAATGTTGGGATGCTTCATTCTGGCCAGAAGAATTACTTCTTTCTTTGAAGCTTCTTTTTCTTGGTTGGGCATCTAAATTACATTAAGAGACAGAGTATAAAGATACTATTACCTATAGTATTATCTATAAAGTAATCTAAGTAGTTATCAATAATTTGTTTTCAAGAACATGCTTTCTGCTATCATCTAAAACTCTCGAAGATTTCATTGGCTTCTAATGCCACTTCTGAAACTGATCGTTCAATGGCAGGAAATGACATTCCTAGAATTAACAGCATGATCTATAGCAAATCAATGGTTTGTCGGTGATAATCGTAAACAAGAAAATAAATATTTCTGGTGAAGGTCTGCTGTATTAAAGGTTCAGTTGCTTTGGTGGCACCTTGTTAATTACTTAGGCCTCTGGAGGAAACTTATTTAAATATTTATCTCTCAGCAACAAAGAAATTCCTTATAAAAAGGCAATGTTTCAGCAGCAACCATTGCTGAGAAGAAACACATGAAATTAAAAAAAAAAAAAAGTCATATATCACCTCAACCAGGCCGGTAAAATTCTGTAGTAAGATTACTACATTTTTCATTTTCAAATAAAAATGGTCTCTTGGGACCTCATTTTGATTTGATGCATTTTCTTATTACTCGATAGATCATCTACTGAAAGTATTTTTCGATTGTTTCGGTGCCAGTGGCTCCCACCCCTTCTTCCTCGTTCTTGACACTTTGCGATTGCTTGACTGGTCATCTCCACCTGACTTCTGGCCTGGCTGCCCCACCTTTCCAGCCCCCGCAGGTCACCTGCTCCTCTCCCCCGCTCCTTCTGTGATGGTCTTCAACACCAGCCCATGCGGTATGTGTGAGTTCCCATACTTCTCATCCTCACTGAGAGTTAAGCATTTTTTAAACATTAACGTTCTCAATCCCAACTTTACTGCCTCCTACCTATGTATCCTTCTGTAAATCATTTAAATCTCAGCTTGTCTCTTCCACCCCAATTTAAATTTAAAAACAGCTGCTCCATGTGAGTTTCAAAACACAAGTAACTGAATTACTCCTACGAGATTGACAGACTTGGCTACTCAACCACTTTAACTACTGTTTTTCAAAAGAACATTATACACAAAACCAAAAGGCACACATAGGTAGGTGACTGTATTTTTATAGCTAAGTAAAAATACTGGCAATAGATGTGGCAAATATTTCAGTATTTATAATATATAAGGAGTTCTGGCAAATTAACAAGACAAAAAGAGCAAACCTGCTAACACAAATATGGCAAAATACACGGATGGGCAACTCATAAAAAAGAAAAGAAACAGAAATGAGAAACAGAAAAAAATATCCAACCCCACTCAATAATCTAAAGAGCAAAGACTGGGGTGCCTGGGTGGCTCAGTGGGTTAAGCCTCTGCCTTTGGCTCAGGTCATGATCTCAGGGTCCGGGGATTGAGCCCCGCATCAGGCTCTCTGCTCAGCAGGGAGCCTGCTTCTCCATCTCTCTCTGCCTGCCTCTCTGCCTGGTTGTGATTTCTCTCTCTCTGTGTCAAATAAATAAATTAATTAAAAAAAAATAAAGAACAAAGACTGAAATAAAATATGATATAATGTTTCACCTATGATATAAACAAAGACAAGAATGTTAATACCTAGGATTAGCCAAAAAGCAGCAAACCGGCACTCATATACTTCTGGTATAGGTATATAAATGTGGGGGTAAAGCAATTTTACAACATGAACTAAGAAACTTTAAATTGCTCCTGTTTTTGGCTTATCTCTTCTAGAAATTTATCGAAAGAAAATAATCAGAAATGTGCCAAGTGTTTTCATATAAAACCTTCATTACCATGCTTTGTTATTAGTTTTTTAATTACTGTCATAACATACACTTGTGATCTTAAAAATTATTTGAAGCCAGACAGAAGTGAACAAGATGAAAGTGAAACTGCCCCTTGTCCTCCCCACCCATTCCATTAATTCCCATTCCTTAGGAGTAATTGCTGCTAATTGCTAAATTTTTTTATTTAATGCACACAGAGGTAAACATTTGTACATAGTTTGTTTAATGAGAATGACTTAGGGGCGCCTGGATGGCTCAGTTAGTTAAGTGTCCGACTCTTGGTTTTGGCTCAGGTCATGATCTCATGGTTGTGGGATCGAGTCCCGTGTCAGGCTTTACGCTTAGCAGGAAGACTGCTTCAGATTTTCTCTCCCTCTCCTTCCTGCTCACTCTCCCTGTCTCTCTCTCAAATAAATAAATAAAATCTTTCAAAAAGTGACTTATATTCTTATTACATGGTATTTAATCATACCTAAAAAATTAAACATAAATGTCTGAAAATATAAAAATAGTTAAATCATGGTGTTTCTTTTTATGTATTTATTTATTTACTTGACAGAGATCACATAGGCAGAGAGGCAGGCAGGGTGTGGGGCGGGGGGAGAAGGATCCCCGCTGAGCAGAGAACCTGGTGCAGGGAACGATCCCAGGACCCTGGGATCATGACCTGAGCCAAAGGCAGAGGCTTAACCCACTGAGCCACCCAGGCACCCCTGGTGTTTCGTAACCTGATGTCATATTATGCAGTCATCAGAAATCAAGGGAGGCAAAGTGTTATAGCAGAAAGAGCAATAGAAGAGTGAGAGAGATCTGTTGGCCACTGGGCATCACTGAGCAAATCACTTAACATCCTTGAGCCTCAGCTCTTTTATGTATACAATGAGCCACGAGATAGATCTTCAGGGCTGTTGCAAGGATTAAATAAATTGATATATGTAAATCACATAGGATGGCAGAAGTAAAATAGGCACCCAGTAAGTGGTAAGCATTATCTTTATTATTGGGAACATTTAATATTATTATATGAGAATATTTTTCTAAGTTTATTTACTTACTTTTTTTTATTAATCTCTACACCCAACGTGAGGCTTGAACTCACGACCCCAAGATCAAGAGTCACATGCGCTTCCAACTAAGCCAGCCAGGGGCCCCAAAGAACATTTTACTATATAAAAACACTGAATGACTTGAGAAAATATTCACGACAGATTGCTAAGTACAAAAAGATGCTATAGAAGAGTATATCTATCATGGCACCTATCATGCCAGTATCTTATAAAGTATTTATGCATTAAAAATAGCCTGGAGGGGCGCGTGGGTGGCTCAGTCATTAAGCGTCTGCCTTCAGCTTAGGTCATGATCCCAGGATCTTGGGATCGAGCCCCACATCGGTCTCCCTGCTCAGTGGGAAGCCTGCTTCTCCCTCTCCCACTCCCCTTCCTTGTATTCCCTCTCTCACTGTCTCTGTCAAATAAAGAAATAAAATCTTAAAAAAAAAAAAAATAGCCTGGAGAAAAAATGTACCATAATGTTTAAAGAGAGAGGTTACAAGTGATTGTATTTTCCTCTAAATGGCCTTATTTTCCCCTTCAGTTCTTTTCAAAAATTTGTGTAATGAACACTTTCATTTTATAATCAAGAAAGTATACAACACATTTTGGAGGCAAAAGAATAGGGGCGGCTGGCTGGCTCCATTGCTAGAGCACAAAACTCTTGATCTCAGGATTGGGAGTTCAAGGTGCACACTGGGGGTAGAACTTACATAAAAAAAAATAAATAAGAATCAAAAGAATATGCTTGATAACAGTAGGATGATGAGAGAGAAAACAGTAGCTTTTTGGTACCTGTAAGAAATAAGCCACTCAGGTTCTTGTATTTAGAGTTTACAGCATGGAGAGACACTGGCAATGTGAGGAAATGTAGATTTCTCTAGATAAGAAGTAATGAAAAACTACATTAGGGTAGAAAGGAAGAAAGAAGCAATACCTATTAATACTGGGACACAGGCGTTGCTAGGCAAATTTAATAACATAAAGAGATACGGGAAAGCAAGAAAAACAAGGCCTAATATGACATTCTCCTTAGTGGTGGCCTGGAGGCCAGGGCGGTTCATGAGAAAATGGATGAAAAAAATCAGTGCTATATTAGAAAAATATGGTTGACTTTTTATTATGTATACTAAGAATGGGAGAGATGCTATAAAGTGAATTAATATATATCCTTGTAGAAAATTCACCTCCCAAAATACTTTCTTCTTTCCTTAGAATTAAAATGGTATTGTAATTCCTAAGTACGTACCATCTTAACAACAGAGCTAGAAGGCCTGAAAGTGTCTAGCCACTGAATTATTTATAAATTATAAAAATGTATTGAGGGGTACCTGGGTGGCTCAGTGGGTTAAGCCTCTGCCTTTGGCTCAGGTCATGATCCCAGGGTCCTGGGATCGAGCCCCACATCGGGCTCTCTGCTCAGCAGGGAGCCTGCTTCCCTCTCTCTCTCTCTGCCTGCCTCTCTGCCTACTTGTGATCTCTTTCTCTGTCAAATAAATAAAATCTTTAAAAAAAAAATGTATTGACTACCTACAGAGGCAAAGCATTATTAGGCGTTGTGTGGAAGGCCAAGACAAGTAAGGTAGGCATTCTGCATGCATAGCACGCACAGAGAAGGCACAGACACACACACACAAAACAGTCAAAGCCCATCAGAGAAGAGGACAATCAGTACCATAGCAGCAGGACAGGTAAAAAGCTATGAGTTTACACAGAGAGAGATTACTTCAAGTGGGAAGGTCCTGGAAGGTCTCCTGGAGCTCAGCCCCAAGCAAGTAGGATCTTAATGCTTGGAGACGCGCAGGCAAAGACCTTCTTGAAAAAAGAGCCCCATGGGTGAGCACAGAGACAGCTGGGTATGTGGAGGGGAAGTTGGAAATGGAATTTGGGAAAACAAACCAGAGAGAGTATGAAAACTAATCCGAAGAGTAAAACAATATAAAAGTACAAGGCAAAAATTACCCACAATCCCACATTCCACCTACATAACAACAATCGAGTACATCTTCCTCTTATGTATGTGACTACATGCATGGGTATCTATATTCCTGGAGAAAGAGAATACATATTTTTACCAAGAGTACCTCGTTCTACACACACTGTTTTCTCAATTAGCAGAAGCTGTGACATTTCTCACCTCAACACTTCACCTGCAACATGATTTCTAAAAGCCGCTTCCTTTTTTATAAATGAAGTAACCAATCCCCTACTGTTCGACACTTAAGTTGCTTTCTGACTGTACGTCTCCGGGTATTTCCTTGGAGTACACTCCCAAAAGTAGATCCTGGGATGTGTACTTTTTTCCCTGTCTTTTTCAAAACGAAGATAACTTTTTCTGCCTACACAAATAATACAATTCAGGGGCGTCTGAGTGGTTAATCAGTCGGTTAAGCATCTGGCTTTAGCTCAGGTCATGATCTCAGGGTCCTGGGATCAAGCCCCATGCTGGGCTCCCTGCTCAGTGGGGAGTGTGCTTCTCTCTCTCCCTCTGTGATCTCTCTCGCTTTCACTCTCCCTCAAATAAATAAATAAAAATGTAAAAAAAAAAAAACAAAAAGAGGGTTAATAATTAAAAAAAAAAGAATATATGCTCCATGTTAAAAATTTTGCAAATGCAGAGAGGAGTAGTGGAGGCGAAATCCTATCACTCAGCAATAATCACTGTTAGTGTGTGTGTGCGTGTTTGTGTGTGTGTGTGTGTGTGTGTGTGTGTGGGTACTGTCAACATCACACACACACTTACATACATAACTTTTGGTGGCCTGATTTTTTTCATCTTTACAACATACTGTGGACCTATAATGCAAATAGGGCATAGATCCTTCTAAGGTTTTGATACATACTAATGAATTCCCTTCAGAGTGATACCAATCTACCTTCCCATCATCAGAGGAAGAGTGCCCACTTCCCCACTTTTATATTCTTTCTTATCTTTCCCAAATGTATAAGCAAAAAGTTGTATGTATTGATATATATTTCTTACTTTACTCATGAGTTTGAAGTTTTTGTATGATGACGTCTTTGGTTATGGGTTTTTTCCTTTTTATTCATTTATAAAAGGCTAGCACTTTTTCGTCAATACTTGCAAATATTTTGGCATTCTGTCAACTTCCTTTCAATTTATTCATGGTGTTTTTTTGTCATTCAGAAGTTTTATGTTTTTATGTACTCAAAAGTGACAATGCATCCAGTCATCTTTCCTTGACAACTTCTGTCCCAGTGAAGGTCTGGGGACATGGATGGAGCATTATCAAAAATTTTCTACATGGAAGCCGGAGCCTTGGCAAAGATACTGAAGCAGCCCAGGGCATTGACCAAACAAATAAAACAAACTCAGAGGACAGAAGGAGCCAACAGTATGTGGCAAGTAATCGGACGTGGAGGGAGACAAAGACTCACAGGTGATCCCATGGTTTTGAGCCTGGATCTCACAAGGACACTAATGCCAGGAACACAGTGCAACACAGAGCAGATAAAATGCAGAACCGGGGGCTGGGAGGGACCAGGGCTGGATAGAGTTTTAAGAGTGGTCTGCTTACTGGGAAAGACAAGAGTGAGAGGTGACTGCCCAGAGAAAGAGAAGAGAGTCGGCAAAGAACAGATGGTGGGGGACATCTACGGGGTGAGAAGGCAGACAGACCTGAAAGAGCAGCCAGATAAACAAAGGAAAGCAAACAGAACAATGTCGAGGAAGGAAGCTCTGAGAGCGCATTAGAATAACTGGACACTAGTAGTAGGATGCCACAGGGCCACAAGAAAGGACCTATAGTGGTGAATAAAGCATTCTCTCCGGGGCACCTGGGTGGCTCAGTGGGTTCAGCCTCTGCCTTCGCTCAGATCCTGGGATCGAGCCCCGCATTGGGCTCTCTGATCGGCAAGGAGCCTGCTTCCTCCCCCTCTCTGCCTGCTGCTCTGCCTACTTGTAATCTCTCTCTCTGTTAAATAAATAAATTAAATATTTAAAAAAAAAAAAAAAAGCATTCTCTCCAAAGCTAACCATCTACACCTGAGCTTTAGTGTAAGTTTGGGAAGGTCTTTTGTTTTCCTTTGCAACCTTAAAAAACTGTGGTAAAATATACAGAACATAAAATAAATACCATTTTAATCATTTTTAACTGTACAGTTCAGAGGCATTAAGTACACTCACACTTGATTTTGCACACATTTTTTTTTAACTAAAGGGATTTTTAAAAATATTTTATTTTTAAATGATCTCTACACTCAACGTAGTTCCAGTTCCACAGATGCTTAACCAACTGAGCCACCCAGGTGCCCCTAGTCAACTGAGGCTTAATGTTCATACTATAAAAACAAACAAGCAAAAAAATGACTTTCTTTTTCATACTAAATTAAAAGCCAACTGAATATATTACTGAAAATGAACAGGAATGTGAACTTCTTCACTTTACCTTCACAAAATCGATCTCTTTAATAACACAGTACTTGCCATCTGATTTCCCGTTAGCCAAGAATGCTTTCCCGAAGGCACCTTCCCCAATGACCTTAATCACATCATAATTATCCATGGTGTCAATGCACGGTGGTTCCTGAAATTAGAGCACTGAAATTTTATTGCACACCTTTCATAAACGTGAACAAAGTCACACAACTGACCACTGCAGTGTAAAGGAACTTCTTTTGGTAAAACTTTCCTACCAACCTCACCAAGACAAAGTCAAATAACTTTCCTTGGGATGGCAGGCAACAACGAAGGGGAAACATTGTTTCTTGGTGTAATCTGAGCTCAGACTCAGTTTTGATAACTGTAGTGTTGTGATCCTGGGGAAGTCACTTAATCCCTCAAAACCTCACTCTCCTAATTACTAAAATGGAAATAACAATACCTGGTTTTGCAAGATTGTTCTGAGAATCTAAGATACAACACCCCGGGTCTTGGCTCCTCTGTAAAGCGGGAATGTCCTTAATACTGGTGCGGTTTTACAGTTCGGCCCTTCTCAACGGGGACGTGCTGCCCCCTAGGGAACATTTTGGGAATTTGCGGAGGTTTTTCTGTTCCTTGCAGAGAAGTGAAAAGCACTATGGCATTTAGAAGTGGTTGGGGCCTGGAATACTAATGTCCTGAGATGCGAGGCACAGTCCTGAAAATAAAGAAGTATCCCGCGGCCCTACAACCCTAGCAAGTCCCCACACACATTCATGTGCATGGAAAAATCCACTTATAACGATCTGCAGCTAGCACCAAACTGCATTTTACACGTAAATACAGAATATTTTTTGCAGTTTTACTGAACACTGAATTTTCGAGGAATGCAACCGCATGTAAATCAAGGCTTGGTTGTACTTTGTTGTGTTTGGAATATTACCAAGAATTGTGCACGGGTTTGGAAAATCACGCCCCAGCTGGCTGAGCTGCTCAAGGTAGCCTTAGCCGAGAGGAGACCTAACAGTGGGCGGCCGTCAAGGTGAGGTGCCTCCTAGCCCAGGCGCGGGCCCTTGGCTACTTCCCTAACTTCTTCGACTGTGGTCGTACCAAGCATTTGCAGACTGAAATGCAAACTTTATTATAAACCGTTTCCTTGTATTTCCTCTTTACACCACAATTAGGACATCATGCCCACTTTTAAAACTTGCGTGAGCAGACCGGTCAGGTTTTCGATCACTTGTGTCATGGTAGGAAAGGGGACAACTAGGTGGCATGGGTCTGGGAACCAGCTCCGCTGCCAGGGGAGGCCGGAGACACCCGAGGACCTGGTTTTAAGGGAGGCGGCTGCGGAACTGGAACACGAGGACTCCAGCCCGGGAACTGAGGGACGGCGACCGTCCCGTCCCGGCGGCACCAGGGGGTGGAAGCCCCCAGCTCTCCGGACAAGCCTTCTACCTTACCGGCATTCCGCGAGGCGGCCGCTGGCTGGGCTGCAGAGCTGGCGCCCCGGCCGGAGCTCCGCGTGTAGCGCGTTGCCACGGAGACCGACGCGGCCCGGGACTTCGGGCAGTTCCCCTCCAGCCCCTGTCTACCCGTCGGGGGTTCGGTCCCTTTCCCCGCGGCTCCCGGAGCCTTGGGGGCAGCTCGGGGTCAGGATCCCGGGCGGCCCGCCCGCAGCATACCTGTTGAGCCGGCTCCGCCTGTCGGGAAGCTTCCTTGCGGGGGAATCTGGGTTCCCCCAGACGCTGAGCGTCCGGGCGGCGGGGGTGGAGCCGCGCAGCGGAAGGGGGGCGGGGCGCGGGGCGCTGGCGGAGAGAGGACTGGTCTGCACCGTCCTCCGCGAAGAGCGATCCGAGGCCAGGGAGTTTGGAAACCCGGCCGCGCAACCTTCTGCTGTCTTGGGTCGGGACTCCGGTGCCTCTCACTCCACCAGCACAACGCTCCTGTTTGTCGCACACGGCGTACCAGATGCTTTGCAGAAATTATCTCTGTTCTTTGCAACAACCCAGCAAAGTAGCGGTCATCGTTTTCTAAATGAACTAAATGGAGACAGGAAGAGTTTTTCGTGCAAGGCTCAAATACTATCAAAAGATGGACAGACACCGGTCTCCATTTGGCGGCCTTACCAAACTGGCCGCAACCCAGTGGTCTGCAAACTGGCGCCACTCCCCGCTGATCCCCGCCCCCGCCTTCCCATTCCCCATTTGCGAAGGCACACCAAGCTGCTGTCTAAAACGTTCCATTACATGTCTAAATAGTTGAAAAGGATGTAATTTCCAGCAATTATAAATACTGACACGAGTAAAACATATCCAAAGTAATCTAAAAACCACGGTAATTTGAAAGCAACCATCATTCTCTTTTTAAGTAAACTCTTCTTTTGAGAATCATAAAGTTTACATCATTCCTTTCTCTCCTTGAACTATCCCTATAGCTAATGTTTTTCTGCTTCGAAGTTTTATTGATCACTATCATATAAGTGGAAATTAATTTATATTTCCTAATCATAGGCTTTCTTTCATTCTTGATTGAATTATTAACAGTACTAGTAGGTACAGAATTGGTAAACAAAAAAATGAATTGCATTGATAAATAATCATTAAACATAAAAAGTAAAATTGTATTGGAAATTTATCACTTAAAGATGTCAATGGGCTTCCCCCCCTCAATTAGTATCACTAGATGAATGCTCACTTTTTGCTGGAATAGCAAGGTTCAAAAATTACTCTCTTGCTTTTCTTTCTTTTCTTTCATCCTTTCTTTCTTTCAAGCCATTAAGTACTGGGAAAACTCATTCAGTTAAATAAATAGGAATTGGAATTTTTGCTAAAAGTGTCCCTCGGGGAGCGCCTGGGTGGTTCAGGGGGTTAAGCCTCTGCCTTTGGCTCAGGTCGTGGTCTCAGGGTCCTGGGATTGAGCCCCACATCAGGCTCTCCGCTCAGCAGGGAGCCTGCTTCCCCTCTCTCTCTGCCTGCCTCTCTGCCTCCTTGTGATCTCTGTCAAAAAAATAAATACAATCTTAAAAAAAAAAAAGTATCCCTCAATTCTTGCCTGGTTTTAAGTCAAGAATCATAATAATCTATCACTAAAACTGGCTCCTAATCATCCATTAAATATCCTGGAATGTTATTAAAAGCAAAATTCTGCAAGCCAACTGACTTGTGAAATGATCTGTCATCCAATCAAGACTCATTGAGTCTCTCAATAACTATACATAATTTCAAGTTCCCTTTGTTTGGTGGTTTGGAAATATTTATCCCCTGGGGCAATGCTAAAGTTTGAGATGACTAAGAGGTACAGAATATAGTATTTATGGAAGTTGGGTATCTGGAACTATCCTTAAAGCTATCCCCACTAAAAGAGAGTGGTAAAAAAAAAAAAAAGGGCAGGGGGAACCTAACCTAAGTAACTCTGGAAAATGGTGTTTTGATTGGAATTGTAAGGCTAGAGGCACTAGAACAGTACATGAACTCTGTACTCTAGTTAGGAAATTTGTTTCTCACAGGAGTATGGGTTGATAATTTGGAAACATCTGTATCCTAGTGTTGAGCAATCTAGTAGATAATGGATGGCTGAAGCCAGGTTTCTCACTGTCAGAAGAGAAGCTAGAAAAGCAAGGAGGGGAAGGCTAGAATGAACCCTGTAGTACTAGATCAGAGTCCAAGACATCAGTATGAGCTCACCCTCGGCTCAACACACAAAGAGATGGAGAGACACTGAAATGACTATAGCTGTGTGGATGTGCACAGGATAGCAAACATATATGGATCTCCTCACTCTGTCTGCTAAGAGGGCCTAGAAGCATTGACAGCCCAGCAGCAACAAACACACCCAGCCCCCAGCTCCTGGTTTCCAAACTGATGAAAGAAACCAAGGCTCCTCGGAGAAATGGCTGATTCTGGAGCTGCAACAGAGAAAGCTGAAGATGTGTCTGGACCATCTTCTTGTAGTACCAGGAAGGAAGGAGGTTCTCAAAACACAAAAGAATGAGGGCATGTCAGAGGAACACAGAGGCAACTGGAAAACTCCCAACAGCCAAAGCTAGACCAATTGAAGGAACAAAACAAATGACTTCGCATTGGATTAGAGCCCCCTTCAGGAGGTAGAGCTGAGGATGAGCTGGACTCAGTGAGTGAGTCGCTTAGAGGCACTAGGACAGTATATATACTGCGTCCTCTAGTTGGGAAATTTGTATCCCAGTGCTCGAAAATGGAAAAGGTAATTTTACAGTGGAGATCCTGGCAGACACTGCCTTAACCAAGTGACCAAAGTTAACAACAACAGTAATAAATCATGTTGAAATCGCTTACTCCCTGATGAGATGTGGCAGAAAGGGCACCTCACCTCCATGATATTCTTCCCCAAACCCTTGAGTTCAGCCTCATCATGAGAAAAACACCACACAAAACACTGAGGGACATGCTACAAAATGCCTAACTGGTATTCCTCAAAAATGTCAAGGTCCTGAAAAATAAGGACGGATGGAGAGACCGTGAGAGAACAGAGGAGACAAAGGATGACAAGATGTCTCAAGGAAGATGAAGAGGGTGGGGTGAAGGTCTATACCACAGTTTTTGTTAACTGAAGATAAAAAAAAAATTGTTTAAATCTACAAGATGTGTGTATTCCATACTCCAGGAGATCCTTATTAACCATCCTGCCATAGACTCAGCTACTTCCCCTGGTTCTTCACTCAAGCACCATTCCTCATACTGGCTTAGGCTTCCGCTGTTTGCATACTTGCCTCCGCGAGATCTTCGGGGGGGGAGCCTCTTTCTTCTGGAGTACAATATGTCACCTCACAACAGCATCCCAGTATGGAACGACAGGACCCAGAACATGTGTGTCAGGGTGACCCACACAAGTTGGCATCCCATTAGTTCCACAGCACTCTCTAGTTTCCAGTATTTCCCACCTTTGGCCTATTTCTTTCTCCTGCACAAGATTGCCAACTTCTGACAGGATCTGTAGTGTCCCTCCCCACCTTCCCACGGCTGATGTTCTGACCTGGGCCCTTCTGTGCATCCTGACAGGGGCTGTATTTAAGGATGGCGGGTCACTGGCGAAGATCATTGAAGATCATGGACCATCACCCAGAAATAGGACTTACTGGAAAACTACACATTTTTATATTCCAATTTAATTTATTTAGATCCTCAAGCCTTTCAGAAATGTAAAAAGAGTTACACAGCAATTAAGCACCAATCGTAACAGTGCAGAAATAATGTGAAGGGCCGCCGCCATGGTCTTTGGTCAGCATCCCTGTGAGGAAGGCATTATCACCTCGTTTTAGAGTCAGGGAAACTGGGGCTCAAAGAGCTTCAATAATTTCCCACAATCACACAAACTGGAAGCAGTAGCCTCCGATTTCTTTTCTGACTGAAAGCCTGAAGTTCAGAGCCATTCTTCTACGCCTTCTCCTTTCAGTTCAACAACTCATGAGAGTTACAGGTTTTTTAAGCCTTGTGGTACTAATCAGGAACAATTTTAAATATTCACAGTTTCCCCTTCTTCGTTCTGTGTCCAAGGAAAACTATAAATCCTGTGAGCTGATATTATCCAAACATTAATTCCTCATTTTCAACATCTACTCGATGTGACTACGGAGCGCTTCCTTGGGCGTCACCCATCCGAAGCTTCTTGCCAGCCAGCTCGCCGCTTCAGTTCTGACACCCAGTCAGGCCTGTCGTCATCCTCCTCAAAATCCCTGTGAAGAAACAATTTTGATACTAAGCCTCCATAGCAGGGGCACAGTAAGTATTTTTGGGTGGCTCAAAGCAGAACACTACCATCAAAATATTTACATTTTTGAGCAACTGACCAGAGGAAAAAAACTGTTAGCTCTTCCAAAGGAGCACTCCTTTCATGTTTCTAAAACATTTGCCAATAAAACCCAATATATTAAACAAAAAACAGTAAGTCCAAGCTGAACAGTTAGGCTCAGGAATTCCGTAATAATACCGTAATACATTACTCATCCCAGACAAAAGATTGAGATATGAATATTCATTTGTGATGTTGAGTAATATAACCAGCTCCTGCTAAACCTGAAATTAAGGTCTGATTTTCACACACAACGACTAGCACCATGTGTATATATCCCAACATACGTGTCCTCTGCCTCCAGTCCAGGTTCCAGTCTCTCTGGGTCCAAAATGACAGAATCATGACCACCATCCACACTGTCTGATGCTTCTGTTTCTTCAGACAGGGGGCCCTTCAAGAATTCTTCTGAACCTTCAGCAGAAAATTATGCCAATTTTAACAGTAGTTGAATAATTAGTGAATGTTGGACTAAAATCCTCCAAAAGCTTGCTGGCTCACTGAGGACAATGCTATATTTCTTTTGTAGTGCCTCCCCCATTACACAGCCTGACTTCTGGCATCAAACAGGCCCATGAAGCATTAGGATGGATATAAAATTTAAAAACAGTACTTTCTTCAAAAGAAAAATTTAGAAAATTATAATTAAAACCTTCAAATATAAGAAACTATATTAAAGTTATCTTTGGATCGTCATCTTCCAGTTGTTTTTCCTCTGAGCTCTCCACCCCCAACTTTTCCCCATGATGGGGAATTAAAAATTAGGGAATGGAGACCACATGCATGAATGCTTTCAAAGAATTTTCTAGATGGCAACTGTTTTCAGATTTTTGCTCACACAATAACCTAATATAAAAATGTGAGCTAAATCT